TGGGGATAATAGGCATATTACGTTTTTCATTACAATTTCTTATTTAGAGAGAGAGAGAGAGAGAGAGAGAGAGAGAGAGAGAGAGAGAGAGAGAGAGAGAGAGTGTGTGTGTGTGTAGTTCAGAGGACACCTTTTGGGTGTTGGTTCTCTCCTTCCACTATGCGGATCCCAGGGCTCAAACTCAAATCAGTCATTGGGCTGCAATTTCACCCTCTGAATCATTTTGCCAGTCCAGTAGGCAGACTTTCTCACAGCTTTGTTAGACCAGTTACTACGTGCAGAGTATGTAGCATAATTCACCCAAAGAATAGTAAGAGTTGCCGTAGCTGCTGTCTCTAGTACTCTGGTCATGAGTCTACCACCCACCCACCTTCCCCTTCCCTTGTGTCCTTCTGGTCACCACCTGTCGGTCCTGCCCACCCTTGATAAGCCCAGTGACTGCTATGTGGGTCCCAGGTCCTGAAGGAGAAGAAGCAGGCGACAGAGCGGCTGGTGTCCCTGTCGGCTCAGAGTGAGACACGGCTGCAGGAGCTGGAGAGAAATGTGCAGCTCATGCGGCGGCAGCAGGGGCAGCTGCAGAGGCGGCTCAGGGAGGAAACGGAGCAGAAGCGGCGCCTGGAGACAGAGATGAACAAGCGGCAGCATCGCGTCAAGGTCAGGCCCTGGCCGGCCGGGGGGGGGGCTCTGTTATTCCCGCTACTCACAGCCACATGGTCTTAGGTTAGTGAGGGCTCTCAGAGTGGTTCGTCCTTTGAGCTTATAGGAAACCCGAGGCTATGGCACACGCCATGGCCTCCTCTGCACTGTGCTCCCCCTTCAGGAACTGGAGTTGAAACATGAGCAACAGCAGAAGATCCTGAAGATCAAGACGGAGGAGATTGCAGCCTTCCAGAGGAAAAGGCGCAGTGGCAGCAATGGCTCAGTGGTCAGCCTGGAGCAGCAGCAGGTTTGGCTGGGCTGGGCTTACGTCCCCGTGAGACTGGAGCTGGGTGCCCCGGTTCATCGCCAGGGTCCACGGGGGATTTGCTGTGGGACCGGCTGCTCTCTCTGTGGGACCTCTGGCAATGGCTGTAGCTAGAGGCAGGTACCGAGACGCCTGTCTCCCCCACCACCCCTCAGAAGATTGAGGAGCAGAAGAAGTGGCTGGACCAGGAGATGGAGAAGGTGCTGCAGCAGCGGCGGGCGCTTGAGGAGTTAGGCCAGGAGCTGCACAAGCGGGAGGTCATCCTGGCCAAGAAGGAGGCCCTGATACAGGAGAAGACCGGGCTTGAGAGCAAGCGCCTGAGGTCCAGCCAGGTGAGCCCCGCCACAAGCTTCCTGGCCAGGTGAGGCCCTGCAGGGCAGTGTGCAGGTAGGTGAGGTTCTCTGATGTTCTTGCCAGGTAAGACAGGGGAAGCTTTGGTTTAGGCTGTTTATGTCACAGGAACTAATGTATGGGACATTGGTATCCACCCCAAAGTCCACTTCACATTTTGCAAACACCACTTTGGGAGCCACAGGGGCAAAATGAGGAACAGGTGTAGTAAGTGGTGTGGCCTACTAGATCCCAGCTTTGGGGGAGACAGGCTGTGAGTCTGTCTGCAGCTGGCATGGTTACCTCCTCTTTAATAGGAAGCCCAGCTGCTGAGCCACCTCATTTTTCTGTCAGATGGGATCAGAATGTGGCCAAGAGAATTTAGTGGGACTATGTCACACCCAAACCTACGACTGTTCTAATGTGGGTGCTTGGATCAAAGCCAGATTCCTGGAGGGTGGTAGACACTCAGACCAGGGTTCCCTTCACTGTCCTCATGAAACACAAGCGACCTGAGAGGCCCTTAGGTGATCTACGATATCCCTTGGACACAGGCACCCTTGCTTCCTTCCACTTGAGCATCCAGGAAGGGCCAGTTTCTCATAGCGCACACTCCCCAGCTTCTTGACCTTAGAGCCTTTTCTCTCTGCTTGCACAGCCCTCCTCTGGGCCATCTCCTTCACAGATGTTCTGGCCCCTTAAAGGGCCCTGATCCCAGAGCCAACATCTGGGTTACAGGTAGGCCAGGGAAAGACCCACATCCTCCTTAACACCCACTGAGCCAGCTGGACCCTTTCTGTGTCCTATGTGAGGCCAGCGCCTGTTCCTTCTCTGACCATTGGCGGTGCTGCCTCAGGCCCTAAATGAGGACATCGTGCGCGTGTCCAGCCGTCTAGAACATTTGGAGAAGGAGCTATCTGAGAAGAGTGGGCAGCTGCGGCAGGGCAGCGCCCAGAACCAGCAGCAGATCCGTGGGGAGATAGACACCCTGCGCCAGGAGAAAGACTCCCTGCTGAAGCAACGCCTGGAGATTGACAGCAAGCTGAGGCAAGGAAGCCTGCTGTCACCTGAGGTACGGCCATCGGTGGCCACCAGCTGTCCCTATGCTCCAGCTCTGATCCATTCCTGTTCACCCGGCCTTCCGCCACCCTCTGTCCCCTGCCCTGGCTGTTAGTGCTGGCCTTGCTGCTTTAGGACACAAGTGCCCTCATGTGTGTTAAGCCTCGAAAGGTAGAGAGATGTCCCTTGGGCCCACCTGATGGATGTGAGACCCTATGGACTTCCCAGCTCCTATTCAGTGGAACTAGATATCTGTGCTGTAACGCAGCCTTCTTCCTTTGAACAGAGGAAGCCTGCACTGCATAAGCTTACCCCTGGTTGTCTGGGGTCTTAGGTAGTCCCGGCTTAGCTCTCTGGAGCGCCCCAAGCTCATCCTGAAAGGGGGTATGCACTTGAGAACACAGCCTCACAGCACTGCATCTGTAATGCCATGTCAGGCAGTGTCCCCGCTGCTGCTGCAGTGAGGGGCACTCCTAGGTCAGGGGGACACGGAAGGCTCAGTTGTGTCTGTGCGTTGGCTGTTGTGTCTGCCCAGGACTCTTGTTCAGGAAGTCTGATACTCCTCCTCCATGAATGCACCTGTTCCCACAGGAGGAGAGGACACTGTTCCAGCTGGACGAAGCCATTGAGGCCCTGGATGCTGCCATTGAGTACAAGAATGAGGCTATCACATGCCGCCAGCGGGTGCTACGGGCTTCGGCCTCCTTGCTGTCCCAGTGTGAGATGAATCTCATGGCCAAGCTCAGCTACCTCTCCTCCTCAGAGACCAGAGCCCTGCTGTGCAAGTATTTTGACAAGGTGTGTTACCAACACAAACCCCTTAGGACTGCTTCCTCCAGCTTGTTGCAAGAGGTTCTGCTGGCAACTCCAAGAAGTTTGTCCCTTCCTCCCAGATGAGGGGACAGGGTCAGGTCACCTTTACTCTTCAGTCTGTTGCATAATAGACAGCCCTAATGCCTATTCTTTGGTTGACAAATCCTGGTCTGGGTGCAGTTGCAGTTCCATGTCTAGCAGCTCAGTACTGTGTGGTGGGGGAAAGGTCTGTGGTACGTTCCACCTGGAGAACCAGCTCTGATTGCTGGGAGTTCACTGTCCTAGGGTGCTGTGTAATAGGCAGGAAAGACCTGGTGATTTCCTTGTGACCACGTTTACCAACTGGTTGAGGATTACTTGGGGAAAGTACTGGTGTGGTAGCTGAGCCTGGCTGGTCTTGGGACAGGTGGTGACACTCCGAGAGGAGCAACACCAGCAACAGATTGCCTTCTCGGAGCTGGAGATGCAGCTGGAGGAGCAGCAGCGGCTGGTGTATTGGCTGGAGGTGGCGCTGGAGCGGCAGCGCCTGGAGATGGACCGCCAGCTAACCTTGCAGCAGAAAGAACACGAGCAGAGCGTACAGCTGCTCCTCCAGCAGGGTCGAGGTGAGGCCTGGGGATGCTGGTGCGCTACCCATAACTCTGGCTGCCTCAGGGCCAGGGTGCCCTGCCCACAGCCCCTCACTAATCAATTCTGCCTTTCCATGCCAGACCACCTTGGCGAGGGCTTAGCAGACAGCAAGAGGCAATATGAAGCCCGGATTCAAGCTCTGGAGAAGGAACTGGGCCGACACATGTGGATAAACCAGGAGCTGAAACAGAAGCTCAGTGCAGGAAATACAGCAGGCCAGAGCCGGGGTAAACACTAGCACCCAGTCTGAGTGTGCCCCACCGGGAAGCCAAACCTCAAACTCCTACATAGCTAACGGGCCTGCAGGCCTGTGCCACCGCACCCAGCTGTCTCGTGAGCTTCTATCAGCTCATTTCAAGTTGCTTTTTTAGGGGCACTGGGAAGCTGGGTGTGGGGGCTTTTGTCTACTTCCATGTCTGACAAAGATGCTGTTGTGACAGGTGGTGAGCGGAGAAGCCTCTGCCAGGAAAACAGACAAGGCCTTGGAAATGACGATGGGCTCCACCCAGCAGCCCCTGAAGCTCTCTGGCAGCCCTCCCTTCTGGAGGGGGCACCCCGAGCCTGGGATGAGACTCGGGACTTGGTCCATGCCCCACTACCCCTCACATGGAAACGCTCGAGCTTGTGCAGTGAGCAGAGCTCCTCTGAGGAGCTGAGGGCCCGGGAAACAACTGAACCTTCAGGAGGGCGGGTGCCGCCTGTGGGTGAAGTGGGCCTCTCCTGGAACTTTGGATCTTTGCCTAAGCCCCGGTGGGAACCCCGAAGAACCAGCTCATGGATGATTGATGTCAGGAAAAACCCCTTGTAGGCCTTGGTCAGGGCCTGCCTCCGATTCCAGTCCTGCTGAGAGGAGAGGCTGTCTGGGAAGGACAGCCCTTTCTTCACACTGTAAATCCAATCTTATCTTTACACTAATGGGAGTCAGCAAATTTGGGCACAGCCCAAAAGAACTGGACGTTTCTCTACTGTGGTACTGGGGATCAACCCCAGAACCTTGTGCATAACACCCGTAGCAGTCTTTTTTTCTTTTTGGTTTGTCGAGACAGGGTTTCTCTGTATTGTTTTGGAGGCTGTCCTGGAACTCACAGAGATCCGCCTGCCTCTGCCTCCCGAGTGCTGGGATTAAAGGCGTGCGCCACCAACGCCCGGCTCACCCGTAGCAGTCTTTAAAAAAAAAAAAAAAAAAGGAAATTCCTACTACACCTTTGCTTTAAGCTGTAGTATCTGACAGCAACCTTTTATTTGTGAGGCAAATCTGGAGATCATCCAAGGCTTGTCACAAAATGGTCAGTGGCAAGAGGGTTAAGGCTTCAGTGGTCTTATGTAGGTGAGAGAAATAGGAAAGTTATTAGCATTTCTAGAAAAATGTAAAATATCATTTAATAATAAACAGAAACAATCTCATTATGGTTTACATCTTAAATGTGTCCCAAAGGACTCCTGAAGGCTGGTCCTGAGCTGAGGACCCTATGGGAGTTGGAGTCCAGTGGAAGTTAGGTTACTGGAGGCCATCCCTGAAGGATATTGGAGTCCTGCCCCTCCTCTCTACTTCTTGGTTGCCTCACTGCCAGTGCACAGGACACAAGTTAGGGACAAATAGTCGAGAACTTTGACTTCTGAAAGCCTGAGCCAACCTGAAGCCTCTTCTTTACTCAGTGTGGGAACTGAGCCCAGGCGGGCACTCCAGGTTGGCCTTCTCTTCATTTGTAGTTGTTTACCTCAAGCACACAAGGTGAACATCTCTGAAAGGAGAAATGGGAGTTTTTACTTGGAATCTGACAATGGGAAGAATGAGCCACAGAAGGGCTGACCCTCTCAGGGCAGACCCTGCAATATGATCACTCTGGAGCATGGTCACAGTCACTCCTGGGCAAAAATACTGAAGGCTAAATCGCCAGGGTGACTTTACTGTTATCTAGCTTCTTGCTGTAGTCTTTCACATACGGGTCTGTTTATGACGTACCGCTTGTGTCAGAGAACTCCAACCTTATGGCAAGCACCTCAAGGGACTGTGTTAAGGGTTTTCCTCCATTTCCCACTGTGGCACTGATCCTCTGATTCACCGAGGTCATGGTATGGAGACACTGGAATGGGATCCTTGCTAGCTGCCTAGACTTCCAGGCTGCTTGCTGTCTAGACTCCCAGGCTGCTTGAGTTAGAGTACCAGCTACCCTGCTGCCCACCAGATTCGTAATCTTTCCCAAAGGGCCAGGGCCTGCCCCCGATGAAGTCCATGAGAGAGATCTGAAGACCGTGAGGCATTCCAGTGGTTACGCCCAACAGTGACTGGGAAAAGGCCCTTGATGTCTGCTGTGTTCTTGAGACAGGGTCTCATATAGCCCAGGCTGTCCTTGTACTTGCTATGCAGTCAGAATCTTCTGAGCCTTCCGCCCCCACCTCCAAAGTGCTGGGACTATAGGCATAGAGCCACACTCTTCGAAGTCCCCAAGGTCTTTAAGTCCACAGGCTGCTTGTGAACTTTCTCAGTTCCATTAAGTTCTGGCCATTCCTGTTCTGGGCACATTGCTGGGATTGGTGGTTTGAGCTTGGCATCATTTCCACATCCAGAGAAAGCCACTGTCAAGTGCCACTCCAGGAACGCAAGAGATCTGGCCAGGCTCACAGTGTTCCTCACTGAATCCTCCAGCTCAGTTCTGCCAGGGCTAGCTAATGAGCTTCTTCCTCGTGTAGGTTCTGAAAGCCCGTCTCCGGGAGAAGGCTTGGCTGAAAGGAGACTCCTCGGTAGTGGAGGGGAACACATCCACCTCCTCATCTAGGGAAAAGCAGAGACAGTGAAGCCTGGATAAGAGACAGCATGCTGTAACCACAGAGGGTCTCACAAGAGTATCACCTACACTTGTTATAAGGGGTATGTGTGGCAGTGACAAGCCACTGGAAATGCAGTGTGTTCACACATAAGGCTTTCTTTTAGATTGGATTAGAAAGGTTTATGTTACTTTGCATGGCTGAAATATTTTGTGAGAAGAGAGCCACCCGAGTCCCTTACTGCAGATGTTTCTAACCTGTGCTTCTGTTTAAGGGCTGGAAGACGGGGAAGCTAGGGTCTGATGAAATGTGCACATGAACCTGCTGTGAGAAAGTGACTGGCTCTCATCACTGTCGATTGTGCTGCCCAAGCCCAAGACTACAAACCGGCAGTCCCAGCCTCTGAGTTAGTTTGGTAGGATTTTACAGAGGTTTCTCTTCAGATGCCCGAAGTTCCCACAAAGCCTCTCTGAGAAGGGCACATGACAGACACTGCAGGGTCAAAACTATCTTCCCACACTCTGCATGCAAGAGAGACCTGCAAACCCCTCACAGGGGAGCCCAGCCCTGGTGAGCACCAGGGACCTTTAACAGGCAGGTTACCTCTGGTGTCCCTGCTGTGAGAGGATGGCGTTCTTCCCTGGAACAGCAATGGAGACTGTGTCAGGGCCTGCAGACCACTGGCAGAGAGGCAGCTCCGTACCATGCAGCCAGAGGGTGGGGTGGAGCCTGAGGAGATGCCACAAGGTAAGTGCAGGCCCACAAGACTCCAGGCCACCCACAGCTCCAAACCTCCCACTCTGCCCACAGGAAAACATACCACATGTAGGTTTAAAAATGAAACTCACCAGAAACAAACACCTCGTCTTCCCCTACAGAGCGGAGTGGTGGCGTCCTCCAATGTGGAGACCACTCTCCATGCTTGCTAGCTTGGGGATCTTCGCTCAGGGAATCACAGACCCTTTTGGCATCGTATTCATCTTCTTCCTTGGCAGACAGGCACCTCTTCCGGGAGCCTAGTCCAAACTGTCCCCAGGAGAAGGCTTCCTCGGCCTTAGACATACTGTCTTTGGGAGGTGTCTGGTCTGGCAATTGACACACCCCCTCTAGTTCAAAATCCTCCAGAACAAGAACCTTAGGGAGGAGATGCTCAAGGCTCTGCTCCTTTCCCTCAGGCTCAGGCTCAGGCTCAGCCACTGATGGAGCCCCAGGGAAGTCTGCATTGGCCTCGCCTCTTCCAGCAAAGGGCCCAGCACTGCAGTCCACCGCCCGCTTCCTTCGGGGCCAGTCTTTGATAATTTCAGGAGTGGTCTTCCCACTTTGCTTGGGGGATGGTGTCCAAGAAACCCCAACATCTGCTTGAAATGGAGAGGGGGTACTGGGTGGGCCACGGGAGGGGGTACAAGACTGACAGATGAAGGTTTGCCCCCCACTCTTGCCAGGCGTGCTGTGGGAGGGGTGGAGGCAAGGGGGTGACAGATAGGTGTGCTCAGCTCTACTGGAGGACTTACTGGCCTTAGGCATGCTGAGAGCAGGGAGGGCGCCCTCCTCTCCCAGAGGGCTGTCCTCTCCAAGGGCCTCAGCTTCCGGAAGAGCTCCAGGGTCTATCTTTTTAATTTGGAGCTTGGGGACGCCAGCAGCTTGCACCTCCAGCTCAACCTCATAGGTCTGCGGGCTGCCAGTGGCCTGTGAAGCTTGTGGGCTCCCCTGCTGAGCAGCAGCCTTGCTCTGCCTGTCTGCCATGCAGGTGTAGGGCAGCAGCTCGGGGGAGCTGCACACAGAGGAAGGGACAGGTGGAAGAATCCCAGGGCCAGACACAGAGGGAGGTTCATCAGCAATGGTGGTCTTGGGCGCCTCCCCTTCTGGCAAGATGGCACTTTTTACCTCATGGCTCTCAAGGCTATGAAGTTGGGCTTCACCAACCAGAGGAAGGTGCTCTGTGTCACTTGCAATGAGCACAGGAGAGGATACCTGCCAGTCATTTCTGAAGCCAGTGCTCTGTCCTTCACAAGATGGAGATTGCTGTCCTCTGGAGCCTGTGATGGCAGCTGCCTCAAGCACTGGAGCAGCAGAGGGTCCAGGCTGGCACTCTGGGAAGTCCTGAGGACTAGAGGTTTTTCTCCATAGTCTCCTAAGCTTAGATGGCGGAGAAGGAGGGATGGGGCAGGAGATCATTCTCCGTGGGGTTCTGGGAGGAGTTGAGGGAACAGGGATTGCTGTGCTGGATGATGTCGGGTGAGCTTTCCAACTTAGTTCTCCAGGAGGAGGGGAGGCTGACGAAGATTTCCTAAGCTGATGCTGGGAACCATCACACCCAGAAGTAAAGTGTTCCTTAGGAGAAAGAGGTTGGGAAGAAGTAACGGGGTCTGTTGGTTGCTTGGGGATTTTGACAGCTTTCTCCTGTAGTTCCTGTGTAGGTTCCTGTGCCTGAGAGGTCCTGGGCAGAGGGAGTTGTCGGGGCTTCTGATGCTCAGGTGTGCCAGCAAGGGCTGTACGTGGAGGTGTTCTGAAGTATCTTCCGGGACTTAGACACTGACTCTGGGACGTGGCAGTCAAGGGAGGTGGGGATGCGGGACAATAAGGGCTTTCTGGACTGGAATTCACTGAGTGTGGCCATGCGCAGTCTGACAAGCGTCGAGGTAGTTGGACGTCTGGCCCCATGGGTGTGCTGGGCAGCTCTGTGAGAAGAGGAGAGGTCTCTTCTGCTATGGAGGCTCTCTTGTGGGGAGTGACCTTTGATGCCAATGGTGAACTGTAACCATGTGAGGAGGATGCCTCAGAAATGGCCCCCTCAGCTGGAGTTATTTCTGTAGGGGAGTTTTGTTTTTCCGGAGTGCACAGTGAAGTCTGTGCCATACGAGGGAACCTTCTTGGTGTAGTCTTAGGAAAGCTTGGAGATTTTTGGTTACTCTTTTTGGGAGTCTGAAAAGAAAAAAATGTTTATTTCAGAGATTGACTATTATAATAACGGTGTGACTGGGACAATATATGAGGCCACTGGCAGTGGGCCCAAGATCTAACTCTAATGCACAAACTGACTTAGTGAGCACATTCTATATGGAGAGCCCAGCCTAGACACAGGGGTGTGAGGGGTGGAGAGGGGCCTTGGTCCTGCCTCAACTAGATGATGGGATAGACTCAGCAGACTTCATATGGCAGGCCTTACCCTCTCTGAGGAGCAGGTGAGAGGTGGGGGGGGGGGGTTGGGAGGAGAGGAGGGAGGGGGAACTGGGATTGGAATATAAAAAATAAATTAATAAAAAAAAAGTGACCTGTTTTCCTATCCCAAACATTACTCTGATTTTACTGGTACACTTTTACTAGAATCAAGGAGGTGACAAGGGGCAATAGGGTATACATAGGCACAGCAACAACGACATCTCAGAAAAGCCACTCGCAAACCAAAAATTTCCTTCCTTTTTGTTAGCAATGTAGCTAAAAATTCTACAAGATGAGGCAGTCAAATGTCCATCTTTCTATAGCACGACTGACTGTCTCAAGGGAAGCCCAGGCCAGCTGGCTTTCATGTTGAGTGAGTTGACAGGGACATGTAGAAAGCACAGAAGAGGCTGTGTAACCTAGCTGGGGGACAGGCAAGAATGACTTACCAATCAGGTATTGGAGAATGGATGCCTGGGCCAATAGGATGGCTGAGGTAAAGGTGCTTCCACACAAGCCTGGCAACTTAAGTTTGATCCTTGGGTCCCTCATAGGGGTAGGAACAAAGAACCGAATCCACAGAGCTACTCTCTGACCTTTACAAATACACTATGACATACACTTTACATCACACACACACACACACACACACACACACACACACACACACACACACACACACACACACAAGAACCAAATCCACAGAGCTATTCTCTGACCTTCACAAATACACTATGACATATACTTTACATCACACACACACACACACACACACACACAGAAAATAAGAATGGACTCTACAAGGGAAGGCAGAGACTAGAAAAGTGGGGCACAGGGAACCTGATTTACAGAAAACAATACAAAACAAAAGCAGAAACATGGAAACCAGTAGCCTTTTAGTTATAGTCTGAGTAGCAACAGCATCAAGCCGGGAGGGCTCAGGCCAGCATATGGACATGGCAGACCCATGAGAACACGGCAGATTGCCTGGGGAGATTGGCATGGTCATGTAGCTCTGTGGCATCCTCTAACAATGGAGCAGTTTCAATGATTAAAAAAAAAAAATGATGATGATTTCAGAACACAAAAGTTCTGCTTTAGGAAAACTTAGGGAACTTTGCTTTAGCAGATGGATCTTTCAGAAAGGCCAGTTTGATTGAAATGGAGGCTGGCTAATAAAATGTCCGTGCAGATCTGAAGAGAGCATGGGTGAGGAGGGATGGAGGAGGTAAGGGCACAAACGTCTGTACCAAGACAGGCAGCACTTCACTCAGTGGCTTCGTCCTAAGTCATGAAGAGCAATGCCAGTCGAATGGGACTGGATGCAAGAAGGTAGAAACCAGGAAAGCCTCTGCCATGACCAAACACATGGCAGACAGAGCCAAAGGAGCAGTCAACAGCACCGCTATCTCCTCGCAGCCATGACCTCAGCCAAGCCTGCTGCCTTAAACCCTGTTCCTAGCAACTATTCATGCAGCTTAACCCTGCCGTCCAGACCTTTTTGGGTTTTTTTTGAGACAGGTTTCTTTACATAGTCCTTATTGTCCTGAAACTCACTCTGTAGACCAGACTGGCCTCAAACTCAGAGACCTGCCTGTGTCTGCCTCCCGAGTGCTGAGAATAAAGCCACCACACCCCACCCACATCTTCTATTCTCTACAGATTCCCAGTTTTCTTTTTCCTGCTGGACACCTGCTTCTTCAGCCATGTCTCTATGTTCCCCAAGACTGCACCATTTTAAACATTAGAGTAAGTTTATACCTGGTAAGCGGTAGACATCTCAGAATCCAACATGCTTCTTGAGGACTTCCTAATTCGGGCCGAGCCCTTTTTGGGGGAGCCAGGTATCTCAGATAGTGCCCCAAAAAGAAGTGTTTTAGGAGACTGATTACTTTGGACTGGAAAATGTTCTCTTTGGTCTGCAAGTCAAAAACAACATTTAATTCTTTCTCAAGAATTGCCCTCCCAATATGTTTCTTTGGTAGAGACAGGGTCTCTCTATGTAGCACTGGCTGTCCTGGAACTCACTACATAAACCAGGCTGGTCTCAACCTTGCAGAGATCCTCCTGCCTCTGCCTTGCCAGTGCTGGGATTAAAGGTGTGCTTCACTATGTCCAGTGCTCTCAACATTATTAAAACAAGAAAGACAATGTTCTTGAGACCAGTTAAGGTGGAAAATCCCAACTGATGATGTACACAACTGCAATGATTGCTGCCTTACTAGATTAAAAAAAAAAGATTTTACTTATTTTTATTTTATTAAGTGTATAGGTTTTTCCTCTATATAAGTCTATGCACTGGGCTGGAGAAGTGGCTCAGAGGTTAAGAGCACTGACTGCTCATCCAGAGGTCCTGAGTTCAATTCCCAGCAACCACACGGTGGCTCACAACCATCTACAAGTCAATCTGGTGCCCTCTTCTGGCAGAACACTGTATATATAATAAATAAATCTTTAAAAAAAAGTCTATGCACCATGTGTATGCAGTGCCTGAGGCAGCCAGAGAGCACACTGGATCCTCTGGAACTAGAGTTACAGACAGTTGTGGGTACTGGGAACCCCCAGTCTTTCATAAGAGCAGTCAGTGTTCTTAACTACTAAGCCACCTCTGTAGGCCCTAGCCTCCTGAATTTTAACCTTATTTTAGGAAATACAAGCAACTGAAAGAAGTTATTTAAGTATAAATACATTGTTGTTTCAGTATAAATATAAAAACATATCCATATCTATTAGCCAAGCTAAACATGGATAAAAGAATAAAGAACAGACAAACTGATACTACCTACCCTCTACCTGGGCAGTTGTGTGTGGGAGTGGATGAGTGGATGACCCGCTGTAGGAATCTAAGGGAGGAATCGTTACAAGACAAGATTGTGATCTGGCCTTGATTACTGAGGGCTAATCTTAGTCTTCTCTAACGGTGAGAAACGTCAAACTGCATGCTTCCTTTCCCCAGAACATTCGTTTGACAGACAGGCCCACATTACCTGACTTCTGCTGGAATGAGTGGAGTCTTTGCACGCTTCGAGACTTTGGCTGAGACACAGAATAGAAGGAACCAGAATTTGTTCTGCTAAACAGCAACTGCTTGATTCGAGGACTTCGTCTCAAACTTATTTCTGCAGAACCAGAAGCAGAGCTGGTAAACAGGAGGAACTTCAGATTTAGCATCTCCTCCCCACAGTGTCTGCACAGCAGGTACCACTCTGTGACACCACAGATCAACAATGGCTTTTAGAGGCAACTGAAGCATATGAAAATGTACAAGAGACTGATACACAGTCCCACCAAGGTGATAGAACACAATTACCCATGAATTTGTTCCTTTACAAGTCTCATAAATTGACACCTCTAAGCATTACAGAAAGAACAAAAGGTATAAACAATGTGACTTTTGTATAAAACACTAGGTTTGTTTGTTTTTTTGAAACAGAATTTCTTTGTTATGTACCTTTGCTTGCCCTGGAACTCTTTGTGTAGACCAGGCAGGCCTTGGACTCACAGAGATCCATTTGCCTCTGCCTACAGAGTTTAGTGTTGGGACTAAAGGTGTGAGCCACCACGTCCAGTTTAACCAGGTTTTCTATGTGTACATTACATATATTTTTGTCTAGGAAGAAAATACACTACAATGTGTTAAAAGTATTTTTAGTGATGGGTTTATTAAGCTATTTTTCTGCCACAAACACTAGTTACTTAAATAATTTAAGAAAATAGTCTTTGAGCCAGGCAATGGTGGCATACACCTTTAATCCCAGCACTTGGGAAGCAGAGGCAGGCCTGTGAGTTTGAGACCAGCCTGGTCTACAAAGCAACTTCTAGGATAGCCAGGGCTGCTACACAGAAACCCTGTCTTGAAAAACAAAACAAAGCAAACAAACAAAAAGTAGTTTTGAACACCTGCCCTTATTAAGACACACTTTAAAATGTCACAGCACTTTGTATAACATGGAAGTTGAATCCTCACACCAAGTCCGATTTCTATTCTGTAAAAGTATTTCTTCCCCAAGAAATTTAAATTTAATACATTTTCTATAAAGCAACATCCATATATGTATATGCTGAATCGAGAATATTTAAAGATATGCTGAGTGAAAAATACAGAAAAGCTTTTGTTAAAGCTAGACAGTATGCAAAAAGAGTAGAAAATATATATGCTTACCATCCTCTTTTACAGGAGACTCTTCAACTACATGAATATCAGGACCAGGATCAGAAGACCTTGAAGAGCAACAGCACAAAGAGTCAATAGCACTCATGATTCACACATTAAAGATGGGGGCAGGCAAGCTGGCTCAGTGAGTAAGGTGCTTGTGCCAAGTCCAACAACCTGCATTCTATCCCCAGGACTCACACAATGGAAGGATAGAATCAACTCTAAAAAACTATCCTCAGCCTCCACATGCATTGTCATGGAGGCTCTCTGTCTCTGTGTCTCTTTCTCTTTCTCTGTCTCTGTCTCTCTGTCTCTCTGTCTCTCTCTCTCACCCCCCCCCCACACACACACAAGTAGTATGCAACAACAAAAACACATTAAAGACAGAAAACATCTCAACTAACAAAGCTACAAAAGTCTTGGGTTTGACAATATTAGCTGTCAGGGGCCATGAGAGATACAGCAGGTGTTAACTGGTGTTTAACAGGTTGAACCACCAGATGTATGATTCCTGATGGGATAGCCCCACTTGGCAAGGTCATGGGGTCACTGCTTATGGAAACCAGTTGCTCCTGTCTATAATTTCTCTCATGAGCCACTTCATTCTTTCCTAAGAATTTCACTTCTTCATTAGAATAGCCTTGGGTGTTTCCCACTGCTTTTGTGTTTATCTCATGAAAATACTCCATCTGCTGGGCACATTATTTGTGGGTGATCTAGAAGGTGACTTTTCTTTGGCTATATAATTTTGATATATAGACTATGTACTGGGACATGCCTCATAATGGGATCTATTTGTCGCACAAGGACTGTGGTCTCTCAAGAGCCTGACTTGTCCTCTTACATTAACCGCACACAATTAGCTCACTTTCACCTCAGACCAAATTCACACTAGACTAAAGGCTTTTTGTAAATAGATCATGATTTTGAAACCTTACAGCTATGCACAAGGTCAGAGCTGTAGATGTCCAACCAAGGTTACTAAGAAAAGCATGCCAGTTCTTCACTTGCCAGTCCACTACCAATGGATCTATGTCTCAAAGTTGCCTTTGGGCACTGGGCCCTCCACATCTGGTCAGTTTTCCTCCCATGGGCATGGGTCCTTATGTTGCCAATGGTTCTGCCTTTATCAATTAGCTTAGGAATATGCTTCTGACCAATGAGAAACTAACTCTGTAATTCTTATCGTGCTTCAAGCCTCTGAGGAAAGAGAGATTTGGGAAGAGGAGACAAGAGAGGTAGTAGCTGAGGGGAGAAGCTGGCAGAAATGTAAGAAGATAAGAATGTAGGAAATATAAGTAGAAAAATGAAGAAGAGCCAGATGCTGGTGGCTCACGCCTTTAATCCCAGCACTAGGGAGACAGAGACCGGTGGATCTCTGTGAGTTTGAGGCCAGCCTGGTCTACAGAGTGAGTTCCAGGACAGTCTCCAAAGCAATACAGAGAAACCCTGTCTCAAAAAACAGTAACAAAAACAAACAAAAAAAAAAAAAAAAAAAAAAGGAAAGAAAGAAAAATGAAGAAAGAAGAAGAATGAAAAAGAGAATAAGAGAGAATTAGAATTGAGACAGAGAACTAGAGTTAAGAAGTTATAGACATCAGGACAAAAGAATTAGAATAGAGAACAGTAAGACAGTACAATAAAGAGCACATGTATAGAATGTAGTGTGAGAAAATTCTTTTCTGTAGCCCTCAAACTTAGATCCTATGCTTTTTGTGGTGTCTCTTTTTGAACTCTGAGCAAAAGCCTTGAGGCCAGACCTTAAGGTTATTGATAATTAACATTGGTAAGCACTCTCATTGACAATTATTGTCCCTGTGAGAACTGGGGATTGAACCATGAATCTTGCATAAGCTGATATACACCATCACCAAGTCCTGCTCCATATATAGATGGAGATTGTAACATGAACAATAAAAACCCAGAGACAGATGTTGGGGTTCAAGATGAAGATCAGGGAAGCAAAGCAGCTAGCCATTAGCTGTTACCTCTACCAGGACTGGAGATATCCTGTTCTCACTGTGGCTGGAGACTAATTGTAGAGACTGAATTCTAAATGCCCTGCTCCTACCTTCTATACCTCTGTAGTGCTGGAATTAAAGGCATTAGCTTTGTTTCTCTTTTGAACTGATTCACTTTCATGTAGCTCTGGGTGGTCTTGAACTCACAGAGATCCATCTGCCTCTGTCCCTTGAGTCTTGGGATTTGTGCTACCATTGCCCAGCTTTTAAGGTTGTGGCTAGCTTTGCATTCTGATCCTTTAGGCAAGCTTTATTAAATCATAAATAATATATCACCACAGGAGATAGAATTTTAAGATACAAAAAAAATGTGTGTGTGTGTGTGTGTGTGTGTGTGTGTGTGTGTGCCTATGTACATTGTGTTCGGTGCTTAGAGACTAGAGTTGTCGGATCCCCTAGAGCTGGATTACAGGTTGTTGCAAATTATTCTACATGGTTCTGGGAGCTGGGAATTGAACTCGGGTCCTCTGTAAGAAACTATGTACTCTTAACCACTAAGCCATCTCTCTAGCCCCTAGGATGCTTTTACTGTGAAATGTATTTTGACAATGTCAAAACCAGCTTTAAAACAGAAGGTTTTTTTTTTTATTCCATTAATGTACAGTCACAGTAAAGAGTAGGCATGTTTATGAAGAGCTTTAATGCCCATCAGCCTGTCAAGGGCTTCTGACCCTCATTCTCATTTCTCTCAAATCACCCTGTAACTTACACAAGTGCGTAAGATCTGCACACAATGTCCTGGCAGAGCTGCCACAGTATATAATATATGCATTTCTTCCCTTATTATTAATGAGTTGTGGAAAGAAAGACAGTCCAACTGAGGACCTGAAGAAGGAAGGGCAGCGAGCTCCCTGGGTTTTATTTTTGCTGCTCATATATCTTAGATTGGCTACTGGAAAATCTGACAACAGACATTAAAAGTTTGAGACAAAATTTCCTCCCAAGAGACAGCTCTTTTTTGGAATGGGGCAGTAATTTCCCTGGTCTAACTAGTGACTACAGAAAAAAACAAGCCCCAGCTATACCTGCATCAACAAAGGCTACCTTGGCTCCCCAACCTTATTTGGCACCTTTCCCCATGTCAACAGGTGAATGCAGAAGATCCATTAATGTAATACTACTTAATAACAAGGGATGAACTGATACAAGCAATGTACATAATCACAAAATTATTACACTCAGTGTAAGAGGCCAGAGTGGAGTAGTATATATTACTGTACTGTCAGTAAAATACAATCAACAAGGCTAAGAATTAGCCAAGAAGGCCAAGAGAAGGCGAAGAGTTGCCTATGAGATGGCACTGGGGGTGGTCTGAAGGGGTCTGGACTCGGCTGTCACTCACCTGCCCTTGATCTGTCTGTGAAGCAGTCGCCTGGAGATTTGCTTATGGACTGGGGTCTCGGCTACACTCTTAGTCAGCAGTTTGGGATAACCTAAGATGCAAAAACAGTGTCAACTATAAATCTCACTTAACTCTCTCAGGCAGCAGCAAGGGAAGGAAGGGGAACAGTCTGAACTTACGCGTGGCTTTTTACCTGGTTAGAGAAGATGTTGAACTCTGAGCTAGAGTCTATGCCTTCAGGGCTCAACATAATCGAGTAGTCAGCAGAACTGATTAAAAATGACACAAGCTGGTCTGATACAAGCCTTTGATCCCTCTCTCTCTCTCTCTCTCTCTCTCTCTCTCTCTCTCTCTCTCTCTCTCTCTCTCTCTCTCTCTCTCTCTCTCACACACACACACACAAAAAAAAAAAAGGACACAAGCCAATGTAAGATATAAAAATCCCTGTGGGATGGCTATAGACATCCGGTCAGTTACAGCCCTCTCAAACAGCAGTGGCTTTCTTCCACAGCATCTATCAATAGACTGATTGATTGACTGATTTGTAATTGCTAATTTTTAGGGGTGTGTGTGTGTGTGTGTGTGTGTGTGTGTGTGTAGTTGCTGGTGGCAGCCAGAGGCATCAGATCTCCCTGAAGCTAGGGTTAAAGGTGATAGCAAGTCACCCGACTTGGACCTAGGTCCTTTAAAGCAGGAAGTGCATAAACCACTAAGTCATCTCTCTAGCCCTCTATCAGAAGATATAACGGCAAAGGTATGGCTTTTTCCAATCCTTTTTTAATCTAAACATTTATGAAAATCTTTGGCAAGTCATTGCCTGGACACAAAGATAAAATAGAAACGTCAATGTTCCACACAACAATAAATGTTTTATATTATAATTTGTCAGATAGCTAGTTCATGACAACAACAAAAACTCAAAAGTTGTACAAAGCATAACCCATCCATGGGGAAAAAGATGTGGGTAGAAACCATCCATCCCTAAAATAGCCTAGACCCTAGAGTCTCAATATGCTCAATGAGCTTATGAATCTACAGGTTACAAAAAGCAAGGAAACCAGGGGGAATACATAAAAATATCAGCAAGCAATAGAAAGTAACAAAAGGAATTCTGTAGCTAAAAAGTATAGCCAAAAATGGGGGTATAGCTCAATTGGAAGAGTTTCTACATAGTATATATAAAGCCCTGGATTCAATTAACAGTACATACAGCCAATTCCAGTACTCAGGGAGTAGAAACAGGAGCAACAGAATTGATATGAAGGGAGAAATTGAAAAATAGAGGGAGAGGGAACTTTAAAAATGAGGGAAGAAGAGGGATAAATAACAAACATGATTGTAGAAGCCACAGAAATCATATTATTTTATATTTACCTAAAATTATGTATAAAGTATTAGTGTATTGCAAATATATAAAGTTGTACACTTAAGGATGTGAACTGGATCTGATCCTCTCTGAGGCTTGGCTTTTTATCGCACTGGGAGTTGCTGTGAAAACTGCCAAGGGAGGGAAGTGATCCACAGTCCTATCCAACTTCGACGCCTATGAGCTGTAACAGGGACCAGCCTCACCACACATCCCTAAAGGAGCGGCAGCGGCGCCTATCTTGGCAGTAACCAACACCTATCTATTTAGACCTAAGTCCCAGTCAACAGGAGGGAACTCATGCTTGGTAAAAGAAACCTAGTCAACTATCTAGAGCTGGTGAGATCATGGTCTTAGAGCAGAGTCTATTACTAAACTAGTGTAATTCCCACCTGCATTCTTAATATCTATCCTTATATCCACAAGGAAGTAGAGCTCTCACCTCTTATCAAAGGGGCATCTCTTCGTAGCTAATGGAAATCAATACAAAACGCCACAGCTGGCCAAAATGCTGAGAGCAACTGATTGTGTGGTATTCTGCTCAAATTAGTGTATCTACAACACAAACCCATACCCAAGGCTTGGGAAACATCACCAAAGAGCAGGCAGAAAGATTAATAAGAGTTACAACCAGAAAATCTGCTGCAAATGATAGAGAAGCTACACATGTTATACTTCAATAATCCAAATATACAATATGGATGCTTAAATAAAAACTGAACAATGACATCAATAGACACGCTAACATAATCTCACAGGTCTTTGTCCAGGCCTAGACAAAAGAACTACAGACAACTAATGACTGCTGAGAGAGGGAGAAATAAGTCTCCCTCAAGAATGTGCCCCGTAGTTGGTTACCTAATACCAACTGTTCAGCCCTAAAATCATACATACACAAACAACAGTAAATGGACTCAACAAGCTGTATTTATATATTTATGTGTGTACATACATATGTGTGTGTGTTTGTGTGTGTACAATAATAATTAAAGAAAAGAAGACCATGAATCTGAAAGGGAGTAAGGAGGGAAAATGGGAGGGATTAGAGGAAAGAAAGGGAGGAAGAACATGATGTAATTATATTTTAAACTAAAAACTTCCAGAAGATAAAAATAATTTGGATTAAAAAAAGGAGAAGAAAGTAAGAAATCAAAGGTCATCCTTAGTGATATAGCAAGCTTGAGGCCAGCCTAGGTTAAATGAAACTGATTAAAAACAACCAAAAAATGCAGATGCAACAAGAAATTCTGTAAAAAGGATTCAACCATATGTCTTAGCAAGCACAATAATCAGTAAATATGAAAAAATAAAATTAAACAGCCTGACCAGAAAAAGAAAAATTAGAGACTGAGGCACCCATGTACACTGTACTATCATGTATGTCACCACATGTATCATGGGGATTCTAAGGTGAAAAGACAAAGTGGCAGAAAACCTTCCTGAAGAAAAATTGCTAAAAACGCCCTTACTCAGATGAAAGACACAAACCTAACTGCTCAAGTTTAATTGACTCCAAGAAGGATGAACCCACATGAGACAACCTTATTGCTCACACCCTACATATTGAGGTTGTCTTTAAAGCAAAACCAACAACCAAAACTTTTTAAAAAGAAAAAACAAGAAACTAAAACCAAAAGAAGTAAAGGGAGAAAAGTGAGGCTAGAAAGTCAATGAAGAAATGTTCAAGTTTCTTCAAAAGGTCAATAAAACTAGCAAACCTTTAGCTAAACTAATCCAGAAAAAAAGCAGAAAGACTCAGATTACTAATTTGGGAATAAAAGTGGGAACAACACTATCAGCAAATTTGTTACAAATCCCTTTTGTGGTTACCTTGAAATGTACTGCTTTTGGTCTTCTTGAAGTTGTTCTGTTTGTGGTGTAGAGATTCCAAGGCTGATACAGAATGGCTTCGAGGCAGTCCCCGCTTCAGCCCCCTCTTTGAAGGAGACATCATTTCCTGGTTGAAGAGATTTCTTCGGACTTTTGTCACTTCTAAAAGCATCAAGGGAGAGAGGAGAGAGACAGGAGATTAAAAAGCATTATGTTGGTGTCAACTAACTAAGGATGCCAGATCAAAAGAGTGGCTTGCTACTCTGTAACCATTTGTATGAAAATGATTCCCCTGGATAGCATACTTCTGGGGAACCTCAAGACTACTGACCTTACAGGTTCCAAAGGGTTCTACACAGATTTCTGAATGAGGTGTAAGCCCAGTACAGTTATCTCAGCATCATTTGTTCAAGGTAATTCATTCCTCAACAAACTGTGCAGAATTATCAATTGAAATAATACATGCTAGTATGTTTATTTTTAAATGCGGGGTAGAATTCAGCAGTTAAGCCATCATCTGATCCTGTAATCTTCTACTTCTCTTTGTGGGAAGCATTTTTTAATAATGAATTTAATATTTTTACTTATAGATTGAATGTTTCTATTTGTTAGCACCTAGCACATTAAATACATCCAATCAAAGTAAATTTGTCAATCCAGTGAATAGTTGTTGAAAACACAAAACACACCTTGAACTGTGTCTTTCCTTGGGAGTGGTGGCTGTGCAGATACAAGGCGAGAGTTGTCCTGGAATGAGAAATGAGGAAGATCAACACAGGCATTCATTCAAGACAAAAATAAAAGTTCTACCTGAAACTCTGACCTTTGCATTTCAGAGAGATCCATAGCAGAGATAGTAAAATGCACTCAAGTACATGTTCCAAAGACACCCCGCTATGAGTAGTAATCCAAAATAAGAAGCACTGTGAACACACATTAAAAGTGAAACAATGAGGAGTTGAAACCACATGGGAGACGTGTGTATACCACCACAGAGACATGTAATGGGGAGGATTTTAAAATTCAGAATAGTAAGTATGGTAGCTTAAATCTATTGTTTCTCTGAAAATAAGAGTCTCCGTGCAGTTCAGGCTGGCTATGTAACAATGCTTATGCTTTAGCTCCTTATACCAACTTTACAGGGATGTACACATGCTCAACTAGGATGAAATTATTTTTAAATTCATGTAGATGTGGGTACATTATGAACAAACTATTGATGTCTGTTTTAGGTATACACAGAAAAGGGTCCAGGATTATACACAACAAACTAACTTTTGAAGAATGGACAGAAAAGATACTGTTCAATTTTATAATGGTGACCATGCATATCTTTTATACCTAAAAAAGGAAAACCATACAGATTGATTAGGACACTGGATTCCTAACACCTCTGCACCAAACCTCTATTGGCCTGTTACTCTAGCGAAGGAGTCGAGACTCCCAGATATATCTAAATAAAGGAATCCTTTCTCAAGATTTTCCTATTTGCTATCTCTTTTTAAAGATTTTATGTGCATGAATGCTGTGTCTGCATATTTGTATGTACACCATGTACATAATATATGCTACACTTATAATACAAATTCACTGTTTCCTAGTTTAACTATATTGATCTTTCAAAAAACTCAAATTTCTTAACTGATCCTTCAGTTCAACAGCTATCATTATCTATTGTACCAACTGGCATGAAATAATCGCCCTCCCCCCCAAGGGTTTCTTTGTATTGCTTTGCCTGTCCTGGAACTCGCTCTATAGACTGGGCTGGCCTTGAACTCAGAGAGATCGACCTGCCTCTGCCCCCAAGTGCTGGGATTAAAGGTGTACACCACCAAGACTTGGCATGAAAATAATTTTTTTAAAGATTTATTTATTATGTTTATAGTATCGCCCACATGTATGCCTGCATGCCAGAAGAGGGCACCAGATCTCATTATAGATGGTTGTGAGCCACCATGTGGTTGCTAGGAATTGAACTCAGGACCTTTTGGAAGAGCAGTCAGTGCTCTTAACCTCTAAACCATCTCTCCAGCCCCCAAAATAATTCTTTAATCAATATCAAAACCTGATGTCCTTAAGTCTTTGCGCTGATATGTTTTATCATTGTTTATTTTCAGAAACAGGGTTACACTATGTAGCCTTGGCTGGCCTGGAACTCACTATGTAGGCCAGACGAGCCTCGAACTCAAGAGACCCATTTGCGGCCGAGCAGTAGTGGTACACGCCTTTAATCCCAGCACTCAGGAGGCAGAGGCAGACAGATCTCTGTGAGTTTGAGGCCAGCCTGGTCTACAGAGGGAGTGCCAGGACAGGCTCCAAAGCAATACAGAGAAACCCTGTCTCGAAAAACAAAAACAAAAACAAAACAAAACAACAACAAAAAAAGAGATCCATTTGCCTCTGCCCCCTGAGTACTAGATCTAAAGATGTGAGCCACCATGTCCAGCCATGGCTGTCTTGGACAATCTAAAATAGAAATTTTCAAAAATGCTAGAAAATGTAAATCAGTATAAAAAACTAGTGATAACAAGTTCTCCCAGCTTCTGTACATCTACTTGGACTTCTTTTCCCTTCAGTCATGACTATAAGATCTGTGAGGCTGGCATCTTATCTACAGGTAAGATACAGTAAGAAAGTGAACACTGTTACTTCTAAAAGAAACTCGCCTCCCACAGTATGGGCAGTGTAGAAATGAACAACCTCCACCATAGAGACGCTTTTGAAGCGAGTTCTCACAGACTTGACCTCTCTCAGACAGTTCATGCTCCAGAGCACCACGGCTTCTTCATTCTCCCTTCTTTCCTCAGCAAGATGCTAATCTCACCTAGTAAGCAAATCCTAGGTACACTGTTTTGTTTCCCTGAAAGTCCTCATTATGCTGTCACAGAAAATACAGTTACCACCAGGTGTCATGACAGTGTCCATCTCCACTCCCACCCCCTCCTAAACTAGGATCAAAATGAAATGTAACATATTAGAAAATACTTTTCGGGAGATAATCAAACATCTATTACAATCATACACTATTTTTCAACGACATTTTCACTGTTGTTTTTTTAAGTTTTGTTATGTACATTAAAGACTAAATTTATTCTTGCCTAACTTTTCTTTGAAGACTTATTTATTTTTTCATTCATTTGTTCATTCTTAGGTTTTTTGAGACAGGGTTTCTCTATATAACAGCCCTGGCTGGTCTGGAACTAGCTCTGACTGGCCTTGAACTAACATAACATAACTAAAGTTTTGTTATGCACATTAAAGACTAAATTTATTCTTGCCTAACTTTTCTTTGAAGACTTATTTATTTTTTCATTCATTTGTTCATTCTTAGGTTTTTTGAGACAGGGTTTCTCTATATAACAGCCCTGGCTGGTCTGGAACTAGCTCTGACTGGCCTTGAACTAACAGAGATCCGCCTGCCTCTATCTCCCATGTGGTGGGATTAAAGGCGTGGCCAGCATGCCTGGCTAAGATCTATTTTATAATCTTCAGTTATGGGCATGTGCAGGCTGGAGTTACAGGCGCTGGTGAGCCTTCCCAGTGTGGGCTCTGGGAGAGAAGCAAACACTCTTGACTGAACCACCTCTCCAGGACCCCTCCTAACTTCACTTGTTTTCTCCATATTACTATAGCTATCACTGTCTTTGTGTATGTGTGTTCTCAGATACATGTATTTGTGGGGGACAGGTCCACAAGTGTGCATGTGGAAGCCAAAGAACAACTTAGGGTGTCCTTCCCTAGGAACCAACACAGTTTTGTTTTAAAGATAGGGTCTCTTACTGGTTGAAAACTTGTCAAGCAGTCTAGGTTAGCTGTCTGGCAGACCCAGAGATTTGTCTCTGCCTCCCTAATGGTAGACTACAAGTATGTGCCACTATGCCAGGCATTTTATACGTGGATTCTAAACTAACTCAGGTCTTCATGTTGCAGGGCAAGCATTTTACCAGGCAAGTCCCGGTCCCTGGCTTTGGTTTTTTGTTTTTTGTTTTCCAAGACAGGGTTTCTGTGTTGCCCTGGCTATCCTGGAACTCACTCTATAAACCAGGCTAGCCTGGAATTCAGAGATCTGCCCCTGCCTTCCAAGTACTGGGAATAAAGGCACGGGTCACCACTTTCTGTTCTGTCTGCATGAGGGTGTTGACCATGGATATGGAGTTACAGACAATTATGAGCCGCTATGTGGGTGCTAGGAATTGAACCTGGGTCCTTTGAAAGAGCAGCCGGTGCTCTTAACCACTGAGCCATCTCTCCAGTCCTATTGGATGTAGTTTTAAAACATGGGTTCTAGAGATCAATTCAGGTCCTCATGTTAGTTAAAGCAAGAAATGTATCAACTGGGCTTCTATCCCCTCTCCCCCCAACTCCGTGTCCCCTCTCCCCCCAACTCCGTGTGTGTGTGTGTGTGTGTGTGTGTGTGTGTGTGTGTGTGTGTGTGTGTGTACTACTTCTGGGGACTGAACTCAGGCTGCAAGTACTTTACTGACTCAACTATCTCCCTAGCCCTTGTTTTGTTGTTGGTTTTTAATTTTATATTTCTTTATTCCTTTGGTTATAGTTTAATACATGTTCACAGAAATATTCAACATTAGTTTAATATCCCTAAATCCAAAAGTACAAAATCTGAATTGTGCTAAAATTCAAAGATTTTTCTTTTCAAAAGATTTATTTGTTTATGTATGTAGGTGTTTTGTCTGCATGTATGTCTGGCCGCAGATCCCATAGTAGTACAGTTACAATGGATTGTGAGCCACAATGAGGGCACTGGAAATTGAACTCAAGACCCCTGGAAGGCAACGAGTGTTCTTAACCATTAAGCCATCTTTAACTCCCAAAGAGTTTAAAAAATTGTTTTGATAGTAAATACTCCAAAATCCAAACACTCTGAAAGATCATTTCAGATAAAGTACCCTCCAAAGCTGACTTCACACAGGGAGAAACATTATCTTTCCCCTTCAGCGTTAATCTCAGCCGTAGAGGAACCATTAGCTCTTATCAATGGTGATTACTTACATTTCTCATAGCCCTCTTGGACACTTTGGGAACTTCAATTTGTCGAAGACTCTGTGAAATCTCTGCAATGCTTTTATGTCTTATTAGTGCATTTTTCCTTTTAAAAACAGAAAAAACACCAAATAAAGGAACTACTATGTAGCAAGGCTTGCATGAAACCAGCATCTAAAATACATTGTTTAAATTAAGTGCTAGTTATCTTGAGGTTGGCCTGTATTTAGAACAAGCCCAGAATTACTAAAAATAGCAACTACAGATTCAGCTAGTTAATAAAAATGACAGACAGCAAGGGAGGTAATACAAATATGCTGGAACCCTAATCTTATTTCATAAGAGGTTCCTAGTTCTTAGACACTCCTGTAGACAGGAAAGAAAATCTTTGTAAACCAAAATAAATACCACATAGTCCCTGAGTAATAAATATAAAGTGTCAGATGCTACCTGGAGGGAACTCCTGAGAGTTTATGTCTGTGATTCTGATACGAGGGCAACTACCAACTCAGCACATTAGATGGACAAAAATGAGACTGTCTAAAAACTTGCCCCTTCTCCAAATTTAACAATAGCGTAGGTAATTGTTCCGATACCTTCTCTTCTTGGCTGATCTGGTCCGCAGCTCCTCCAGCTGCTCAGATTCAGTAATGCCTGACACTGATCTGTGAGCACTTGATGAGGGAGGTGGTGACATGCTCTCTTGAGTCATAGAATCATCACTAAAAAACTCTGTAGGAAGGACACCAGCCAGCTTCTGAGGAATCTTTAACCCCAGGCTGTGGTAAAGTTGTCCAATTGTCCCTGGGATGGAGTCAATATACCTGTGGAGTGTATTGGAAGATACGGAACAGAGTTACCATTTCATCTTCTCTACCCCTTCACCCAGCCTGAAAAAATGCCCCTGTAATCGTATAATTCTAAGACAGCACCATGTGGAGTCCTTGGTAAAACAATGGTAAACTAAGCCAGTGGTCATTAAACTTACAGTCTCAAGATTTCCTCCAGAAACTCTGACAGGTATGCCGAGTCCTTAGTGAGACACACCATGCGTAGCAAATCTGTCACCTGAAAGAGGTTGCAGAAAATTACCATAGCCCCTGCTGGGAAGTGGAAAGCAGGAGCGTATGCTCTCAGGGCAGCAGCCAGGGACTCACCTCCTCCACGACTTGTTCCACCTCATCTGTACTTTCCAGTACTGAGGGGCACTGCTGACACATCTCCAGACGAAGAAACACCTGAAGCTGGCACCTTGAGGAAACAAAGTACTTGGTGATGTCTCCTTTGACTGCCACTTACTGAAAACTCTGAGCAAAGATCTATTTATATAAGAAACAATGACCAAGAACTGGGAAGGTAGTTAGAGTTGAAGCACATGCCTAGCACATACAGAGCCATGGATTCAATCTCAGAGTACTGAAAAAGAGGGGGAAAAGCAATGCATAGGTGGGGAAACCTGGATGTAGCTTAGCTGGTGACTTACTTGCTTAGCATGCCTGAGCCTGGGCACGGTGATGCATATCTGCAACCTCAATTCTCATGAGGTAGTAGAAGGAGAATGAGGAGTTAAAGGCCAGCCTCAGCTTGAGGACAGGCTGGGCTCCATGATACTTTTCTTTTTAAATAAAAGGAGGGAAAGACGAGTCTAATAAGAATCCAGTGTTTTCTCTAAATACTGGTGTGCTTGTTAGGCAATTAAGTGACTGAAACTGCCCCTCAGTACATCATAAAGATCACTAACAAAAGCATGCTCAAGGAATTGACAATTTAAACTGTCCCAAGAACTCTGAGAATTGTGTTTTGGGGTAGTAGTAAAATTAAACAAAGTGGTTTCTTACTCTCTGACTTTATCTTCTTTATCCAGCTTTCCCCCTAGATCCTGTCGGAGAGTTTTGCTGGTTTTTAAGAGGTTACTGTTCATATGATTCAGGCAAGCCACCTGTAAACACAAAGTTATTATGTAGGAGAAAACTGTTACTTATTTCTAGTTTGCTTCACAGTTGACTAATGCCTTATATACCTCCCCTTTCTTTCATTTGAATGAAAACCACTGAAATGAATGCTTTCCTTTGATGTCTTAGAGAATGTGGGGCGGGGGAACAAAACAACTATGTGTAACCAAGTAGAAACAGCAAGTCTTTAGATTTCAACTGTTACAGGAAGGTTTCTTGGGTTATAGAGATGGCTCAACAGTTAGGGTTGAGAGCACAAATTGTTCTTGCAGAGGATTCTTAGCACCTATGCTGGACTGCTCACAACCACCTCTAACTCCAGCTCTAGAGGGTCTGACACCTTCTTCTGGACTCTGGACACACACACACACACACACACACACACCTTTTTGTTGAGAGGGTTTCTCTATGTAGTCCTGGTTGTCCTAGAACTTATCATGTAGACCAGGCTGACCTTGAACTGAGATCCTCCTACCTCCCAAGTGGAAGAATTAAAGGAGTGTGCCACCACACCCAGCTTTATACACTAAATTTTTTAAAAAAAGGTTCTACAAAGCAGTGATACCATAAACAGCTCCTGTCCACTATAGAGACAGAGCACTGATTTTGCCATTGAATATGGATATAGGCAATGAGGTACTTTAAAACAGTGGTTTGAAACACTGCTAAAATTATGTAGGGAGTTTTTAAAACAAATAGATCCCCAAGTCCCAACATAAAGAAAACTGGAGTTAGTCTATCAATCTGGAAGGACCACACATTAGCATTAAAAACAAAACAACAGGCCTGGAAAGATAGCTCATTGATTAAGAGCACTGGCTGCTCTTCCAAAAAACCTAGGTCTGATTCCCAGTTCCCACACAGCAGCCCACAAACAACTCCAGTTCCGGGGAACCCAATACACACAGTATGCAGACACTCATGCCAGCCAAACACCCATATACATAAAATAAAAACAAACAAGTAAATAATAATAGTAAACCAAAGTAACAACAAAGAGATTCTGAAGAGCAGCTAGGTCAAAACCTAGTTAATTCATACAGCTAACATACACACAAAATATAGCATTTCATTAGGACAGATGTTCACTTTGATTCTGGTCTTCCAGTTTATCAGGCTCACATTCCAAAATCTGGAATTTGCCAATCCTTTACTCATTATTTAAAAAGAATGTTTATATTTATTTTTATTTTACATGTATGGATGCTTTGACTGTATATACATCTGTGCATCATTTGCATGCAGTACCCAAAGAGGCCAGAAGAGGGCATCAGACCCCTTGGACCCAGAGAACAAATGTGAGCCACCATGCAACTTGGGAATTGAACCATGTCTGCCCCGCCGCACCCCCCCCCCCCAGATCACTCACTGCTTTAAACCACTGAGCCAACTTTCCAGCCTACTAACTTTTCAATCATGTATAACATAATGGAAATTCTTCAACATATATGCACCAAACCATCAACTACATCTATGGCAGTATTAAATAGACTTCCTTACTTCTAATTCCTTGACGTCCTTCGACTTTAGGAACACTTTAATGGTCGAGACCAAATTCTGAGCACATGAATACAATGTGATTTCTCCTGCAGCCACAGTCTTTTGGTAGTTTTCATGTATGTAAGACAGTAGCTCCTCTTCAGTTTTAAAGTCTGTGGGGAAAATAAAAAAGAACATTTGCTTATCATATTCTGATCAACTCTGTATCATTTAAGGGTTTATCAATTGGGGAGAGAGACTTTTGTCTTCCAGGAGAAATCTAACTCTGCCTGGACTGCCATGACTGACTCTAAGGGTTACTAGCATATAGCGTGTAGATGCTATTAATGGTGATAACCATGCCACAGTGTTTAGCCCAGGCCAACAAGAAAAGATAGCTCATCCAAAATATTACTAGTGCCAAGATCAAGAAAGAAAAGAGATTAGTGACTATTTCTAAGGCTTTGTAAATGTACAAATAAAAATTTAAAATCAAGAAAAAATGTTTAAAAAGTGTCTTTGTTCATTGACGACAAAATTTTCTACATAGGAAATCTGAAAGAACCAATGAGAAAGTTCCTGGAGTTAATGAGGGATAAGAAGGTTGCATGAAACAAAGTTAACCTGAAAAGCTTGCCACTTCCCTAAATATTAGCAGTTTATGAGTGGGATTTAAAAGTAAAACCACATTAGCAGGGAGCAGATAAGGCGCAGTGGTTAAGAGCAGTTGCTGCTCTTGCAGAGGACCTGGATTTGGTGCCTAGCATCCACATAGTGGTTCACAACTGCCTGTAACTCCAGTTCTAGGGGATCTGAACCCCTAGATATCAGGCACACATGTGGTACAAATACATAAATGCAGGTTAAGACATAAACATTAAACATAAATAAACCTTTTAAAACTCACATACACATCACACATCATTAACTATTTTAACATGCAAAACAATGAAGTACTCATATATTGAATCTAACAAAATATGTGTAAAATTTCTATGAGGGAAACTACAAAACTGTGGAAGAAATATAGAACCAAATAAATGGAAGCATCCCTATGCTCATAAGCAGTCAGGCTTTGTACTATCAGGATGTAAGTTTTTTCCATCTGATCCAACTCAATGCTAAGAGGTAAAAGCAGAAGACTAAAAACTACCCAAATTTAAGACTAACTTCACGTGTGGCATGAGAAAACAAAATACAAACAGATCAATAGAACAGAATAGAGTTCTGTATTAGTAGTCAACTGGTCTTTGACAAAGAACAAAGCTGTTACTATGGATGCAAGATCAATAAATGGTGAAAACAGCTGAATATCCAAATGGGAAACATTAAGTTCAGACATAAACTTTTATCTTCCATAAAGATTAACTCAAAACAAGTCAGTCACAATATGAAAACAAAAGGTCTAAGACCGCTAGACATTAACAAATAAAATCTAGATATATATCTAGGAGGAAGGAGAAACTGAAGTTCAAGGTAAGACTCAGACACATAATAGGTTTGAGGTTAGCCTGGGCTACATAAGATAAAAAGCCAACCAACTAAAAATAAATTAAATGTTCCACCAACATACTGATAAGAGTGTAAAAGGTAAGCCATAGATTTGAAGAAAATATTTGCAAAGGACATCTGATAAAGGCTCATTATCCAAAATATGCAAAGACCTCTTAAAACTCAATATTAACAGGCTAGTAAGAGGGATCAATAGTTGAGGGTGCCCGCTGCTGATCTTAGAGGTCAGATTCACATGGTGGATAGAGAGGACAAGCTCCCTCTGACCCATGTGTGCAATAAACATACCATGCAGACACATCTATGTACACCATAACATACAATATAAATTAAAATGTTGCAAAAAATTTATTTAAAATTCAACAATATGGCTACCTAAGGGTCACAGCTCAGTTGTAAGCTATGAGGACCTGATCTCCCAGCATTATCCTTTTAAAAGCCAAATGTGGTGGACCATGCTTATAATCCCTGTGCTGGGGAAACAGAGTCAGGTAGATCCCTACAGCTCACTAGCCAGCCTAACCTAGCCTCTCAGCAAGTTTCAGGCCAACAAAAGACCTATCTATCTCCAAAAAAAAAAGAAAGAAAGATGGCTGGGCATAGTGGTACATGCCTGTGATTCTAGCATTGTGGAGATAGAGGCAGGAGGATCAAGAGTTAAGGCCAGGCACAGCTGCACAGAGAGTTTGAAGATAGCTTGGGCTACATGAGACCCTAATTCAATAAAATAATTTAGTTAAATACAAATTTTAAAAAGGTGGATGCCTCCTGAAGAATGTCCTCTTTGACATAGGGGGCAGATCCTAGTCTGCTCGTCATTTCCAAGTAATCTCAATCTCTTTCTCCTTTCCCACCTCCTCTACCTTCTATCTCATTTGGTTTATTTGTATATTTATTTGCTATTTATTCATATAGCTCAGTTGTCCTTAAACTCATTATGTATATATGAGATACCACTGAACTTCTGATCCTCCTGCCTCTACCAACAAGTTCTGAGATTATACATGTGCTCCATCATGTTCAGTTTTAGGTGGGGAATCAAACCCAAACATTTCATGAATACTAGGCAAGCACTCTATCAGCTGGGGTAGACCCCCCAGCCTCCAGCTCCCTTATGTAATGCAGACACCAAAGGCTCCAGAATGAACGAATACCTTTAAGTTTAGAACTTCTTAAGGTTCTTCCTCTGTCTTCTGATTTATCTCCTGTTCTGCCGCCCACTGTCTTTTGGAGCCCTTTCTCCACAGCCACGTCTGGACTACCATCTGGGTGTAACTTCTGAGCCTTTACATTTAGCCTCGCCACATTCAACATCTTCAAGGATCGGGACATGGTATTCATCTTCTGTCTCACTGGAGTTCGAGGGATACCACCTGCCAAAACATCAGCGGGAAGAAAAGCCAACTTTCACTTCTATGAAATCAGAACTATATTATGCCAAAAAGAATACTGGAAAGAAATATCTCCATTCAGAATTATCTGAACCCAGTAGTTCTTTTATCTGCTTCTACCTAAAATATAAACAGGCTCCTTTTACTGAAGTTTAGGAACTAAATATCTCAACAATTATTTTTTTTAAAGATTATTTTATTTTCACGCATGAGGTTGTTTTTTGTTGTTGTTGTTTTGTTTTTCTCTGAGACAGGGTTTCTCTGTAGCCTTGGAGCTTGTCCTGGAACTCCCTTTGTAGACCATGCTGGGCCTCAAACTCAGAGATCCACCTACCTCTGCCTCCTGAGTACTGGGATTAAAGGTGTGCTTACATGAGTGCTTTGCCTGCATCTATGTGTATATGATTCTTTTGCCTCTGTGTGTATGTGTGCATGTGCACGTGCATGTTTGTGTGTGTTCGTGTGCACACGGCACAAGCACATTTCTGGTACCCAGAGAGACCAGAAAAGAGCACTGGATCCCTTGGAACTGGAGTTACAGATGGTTGAGTTGCCATGGAGTGCTGGAAACTAGTCCTTGGTGTTCTGCAAAAGCAAAAAGTGCTCTTAACTGTTCAGCCATCTCTCAAGACCCATCTCAATGATTTTCCGCAAAGCAATTACCAAGCATGCTTCAGTTTGGTGTTGCCCAAAAGACAGCTGTGATGAGACTTTTCCTTCTGGCAGTGCTAGGGATAGAACCCATAGCTCATGCTTGCTAGGCAAGTGCATGCTTTTTCTGAAACACAATCTAGTAATCTGCATCAAAAGCTAATTTACATACTCTTTAACATAGTTAACTCATTCCTGGAAATTAGTGCTAAGGAAATCCCTCAGAGTATATACATGATATACACTAGAGTATTATTTGTAATGATAGAAATTGAAAACAGCTGGGCGTTGGTGGCGCACGCCTTTAATCCCAGCACTCGGGAGGCAAAGGCAGGCGGATCTCTGTGAGTTCGGGACCAACCTGGACTACCAAGCGAGTTCCAGGACAGCCTCCAAAGCCACAGAGAAACCCTGTCTCGAAAAACCAAAAAAAAAAAAAAAAAAAAAAAGAAATTGAAAACAATCTCCATGTTCAACAACATGAGTGAAGCAGAATGATTACACAAGCAGCACGGGTGGGGATGGAGCTCTAGGGAAAGCACTGCCTAGAGGCCTGATGATATGGTTCAGTTCCCGGCATGGAAGGCAAAGTAACTAATGAGCAAATATCTGTAAATAGGAAAAAAAGCTGTATTGACATTTCCAAATTTGAAATATAAAAATTTGCCTTTAGTAACCATTTCAAACTTTCTGTTTGTTTGTTTTTTGAGACAGAGTTTCTCTGTGTCTTTGGAACCTGTTCTGGAACTAGCTCTTATAGACCAGGCTGGTCTTGAACTCATAGAGACCCACCTGCCTCTGCCTCCCGAGTGCTAGGATTAAAGGCGTGTGCCAACACCGCCCGTTACCATTTCAATCTTAATCAACCTTTTGTTTCTTTTTTTAGAAAGAATAACTGTTTTAAAATGTAGTCTCAGAAGGAAAAAAAGACTGCCTCAAAAAACAGGCTTTCTATGTGCGTACGTTTCTTTCTGCTGCGGTCTTGATTAACTACAGTAGATTCTTCATGAGATTTTTTCTGGTAGAGTTCAGAGAGGCAGCGTGTTACCTCACTTTCAGTTTTAGAGGATTCTTCATTATCAGGTGAGGCAGCATGTAATAACCTATAAGACAAGATGCGCATTATAAGGTCAAATTCTAACTTTCTAAACCACCAGACTCAGAACAGGTACAGTGCTATCAATCAGCATCATACATACATGATAGTCTTTAACAGACTAACTGTCCCACAAGAGTTGGCTGGTAGAGAAGGTTTGTCCTTTCCATTATGTATTCAGAATACATAATGGAAAGTGCTTTAAATTCATTAGAAAGATAAAACCCAAGTGAAATTTTATCTCATCTAGGTGCTAGGTGTGTGTCTGTGTGTGGGTATGTCACATGAGTGAAGGTGCCAGAGGGGACCAGAGTTGGCCTCTGAAACTGGAGACAGAGATGGTTTGAGCCACCATGTGAGAATCAAACCTGAGTCCTCTGAAAGAGCAGCAAGTTCTTAACCACTGAGCCATCTCTCTAGCTCTCATACTTTTGATAAAACTCGTAAAGGTAAATAAACTAGAGATATTTATATACAAATGAAAAATATGTTGAGCATGAACAATTGCAAAAGGTAAAATTGTACCATTTATATAAAATTTACAACAGAAAATAGAAATTGTTTGTGTGTGTCTATACATAAGATGTAAACAAGCCTAAAAATACCTGTAGGGAGGGTGGGTGAGAAAAGATGGAGTACAACTTTAACTATGTCTGCAATGCTTGATTTCTTTTTTTTGGGGGGGGGGTTCAAGGCAAGGTTTCTCTGTATAGCCTTGGCTGTCATGGAACTCACTCTGTAGACCAGGCTGACCTAGAACTCAAAGAGATCTGCCTTCCTCTGCCTCCTGAGTGCTGGTATTAAAGGCATGCGCCACCACCGTCCACCTGCTGAAGTAGCTATAACTATTAACAAGAATTTAATCTCTAATCTTGATGGTAGGTACACTTTTACCTTGTAATATTGTATTCTGTGCTTTTCTGGTTGATTAAATTCTGATTTTTATCTTTTGGTTAGCTGAGTCTGTCTTCCCTGCTGGCTCACAATGCCACCCTTGTTTGTTATATGTCACATTCCCATAAACTCAGGAGTCACTTTCCAGGTTCTCTGTTTTGGCTTATTTGTTCAACTAATGCCACACTGTGTACTGTGTAGCTTTACAGAAAATCTGTCCCGACCTGCAGGAAGTCAACCTGGAGCAAGAGACCTAAGGACCGGGGATGGGGACAAGAGACATGAAAGAAGGGCCACAAGACAAGGATCTAATTAAGTGGCCATTTTTATTTTTCTCAGGGCAGTTAATGTACTTGGTAGAGCAGGAGAACGGGAGGGGGGTGAGGGGGTGAGAGGGTTGCTTTGCACACCAGGTGTGCACGTAGCAGGGTATTGTTTAAGCACATAGAGCAGGATATTGGCAAGGTAAGAAGTTCAGGAGGGAGAGGAATGGGTGGGCTAACGGCCATTGTCTAGGTGATGGTTAGGGCTGGCTGGGTTTGGACAAGCTTTCTGGGTCATGGTGTTCCTATGTTCTACCCATGTTGTTTCCCTTCTGAGTGCCCCCAGAAGGCTCCTTTGTTAAAGCTAAAGGCCAATTATGTAAATCTTTAGACTTTAGAAAGTACAGGTTTGGCTCCAAAAGATGAAGGTACCTGAGGCGTTCCAACAAAAATCTGCTTGTCATGACAGGAGGAACTTTTATTTTGATCTTAGATTTTGTTTGTTTGTTTGTTTGTTTTTGGTTTGTTGTAACAAGGTTTCTGTGTAGCCTTGGTTGTCCTGGAACTTTCTCTGTAGACCAGGCTGGCCCCAAACTTGCAGAGATCGGCCTGCCTCTGCCTCCCGAGGGCTGGGATATGGTGATGATGTGTGTGGAGGTCAGATTACACTTCCGTGGAGTCAATCCTCTCTCCAACCTTGCATAGGTTCCAAGGAGCAAACTCAAACACAAGGTCTGTGCAGCAAGCGCCTTCGCCTTCTGAGCCACTTTGCTGGTCCCTTACTTGAGTTTAAAAAAAACACCTTTAGTTTTATTTTCCATGTAATTCGTATCTGTTCTTACCCTTATAACTCCCTTCTGCATTTGAGGTAGGGAGATAGTTTTAATTTGGCAGCCCAGATTGTCACTAACTTTCCATCTTTCCAAGTGCTGAGATTACAGGAAAGCACCATACCTGGTTCTTTATCCCTTCTTGTACTTGATTCTTATTAACTGGTTCTTAAATTTCTCTTTAGAAAAAAACATCAGAGCCGGGTGGTGGTGACAGATGTCTTTAATCACAGCACTTAAGTGGCAGAAGCAAAAGGATCTGTGAGTTTGAGGTCAGCCTGGTCTACACAGCCAAGTTCCCGGGTAGGCTCCAGAGAAACCCTGTCTTGAAAAACCAAAACCAAAAAAAAAAAAAAAAAAAAGAAAAGAAAAGAAAAAAAAGATCAATGAAGCCTATATTTTTCAGTATAAATTAATCTGTGGTCTTAGTCAGTGTTCTACTGCTGTGAAAAGACACCATGACCACAGCAGCTCTTATAAAGGAAAGCATTTCATTGGGGCTGGCTTACAGTTTCAAAGGTTTAGCCCATTTTTATCACGTGAGGAACAGGCTTCAAGGTAGACAGACATGGTAGATGACAGCTCCACATCAAGATTCACACTGTGTCAGGAAGAGACACAGACTGGTTTGGACTTTTGAATACCAAAGCCCATCTCCAGTGACATGCTTCCTCCACAAGGCCAGACTTCCTCATTCTTTTCAAGTAGTGCTACTCCATAATAATCAAGCATTCAAATCTATAAGCCTGTGGATGCTATTCTTATTCAAACCACGCCTATATCAGTGTTTGGCATTTTCTCTGCACAGGCATTGGTGGCACACGCCTCTAATCCCAGCACTGGGGAGACAGAGGCAGGCAGATCTCTGTGAGTTCGAGGCCAGCCTGGTCTACAGAGCAAGTTCCAAGACAGCCTCTACAGAGAAACCCTGTCTCAAAAAACAAAAAAACAACCAAAAAAATAAAGCCAAATGTGACAACCAAGTTATAGAAGGGCAGGCTCCCTTAGAACAAGACTGTTGACATCTGACTATTGAATTTAATAATCAATATACAAAAAGATGCATAAAGCTTTACCAAAATGACTCCATCAAGTCTGCAGTGGCACCGCTGACGTTAGAGAAAGGGAACCACTTTTCCATAAGAGCTGGACTCCAGGGACTGGTGCGACTAAGCTCCTGCTGGACCCACTCTGGAACACAGGGAGCTAAAAGGACAGAAACAAGAGAAGACATGAGAACCAAGGAGAGCACCCAGAGCTTTGTGCCTGGGCTCACTCCTCCTCTGCAAAGAGCATGTTAACAACATCTGCCATTCTGCATGGCCAACTCCTACAGGTCTATCTTGTCTGGGGTGGGGGTGGGGAGTGCAAACACAGTTTGAAGCTTTTGCTCCTATTCCTCACACAACCCTTCGTCTTACTTCTGAAATATTCCTCTAAATGCATTTAAAATTGTGCTATTTTTCTATTCTCAGAAACTTACTTCCTTTTAAAAGTGCCTTTTAGCACAAGAATAAACAATGTACTAACATAAAAGCAGTCTAAGCTACAGAGAAGAACCACCGTACAGTATCAAGTTAGTAACTCTGAGACAGTTAATTATAGTAGAAGAGTAGGTTCCCTTAGGACAGGCCTGCCAGAGGATGTGTTTGGAATGCCAGAATAAGCTTCACTAGAACCTCATGATAGGACCTTATCTGGACAGAGTATGGTGGGGAGCCTGGAAAGTAAGACACCACACTGACTTATATACTCCAGGAAACTGAGCCATGCTACAGCACACGGGCAAAATACTCAGAGTGCTGTTTTACAGTATTCCAAGAACAGTTTTCTGGCCTGTTTCTAAAGATTTTACAAATAGTCTATACACACTTGACAAATAAGCCAATGACAAAGATACAAAATAATCTATTGCTTTAATATGTGATTATTTAATAAGCCATCCTAAAAAGTGTTCTATAGAGCCTTCAGATGAAGTTCTTCAGGATTTCTAAAACCAGCTATTTAAACTGCCTATAGCTTGTACTAGAGCTTACTTTTATCTGCCTTACAACATCCCGGGTTCCACCAAACGCATGATGGAAAGGGCTGGAAGAGACTGCAAACCACCCTGTGTCATGTTAATTCCTGGTGGGAAAACTTACCAGAAGAAGCAGGGTCTTCAAATAAATTATGAACCTGAGTCAGTGCACTATCTACAACATCTGAGAAAAGGGAAGCTATATCCTGGGGATCTTCAGCCACAGCTGTCTGGAGAAAATGTCTTTGAAATTCAGCTTCTTTGGCTCTGAAAATTGTGAGAATCATGGCATTGGCAGAGAATGGGGAAATAATTCCTGTGATGGGGGGCCAGCCTTCACCAGGATCCACACTGGCAACCTACAAAGAAATGCTAATGAGTTGGGAATATTATTGTCAATATACCTAAAAGAATGTAGCCCGCTAGAGACAGACTAATAGTTGGCTATCAGTGGCAGAAGAGAATTTATTAATCATATGGTCCCTAAGTCTCAATCTGTAAGAAAAAGCTTACAGTGTTGGTAACATTTACCATGTGTTTATTTTCTCTGGGTCATTACAATAGTATTTGCTTTATATTAATAGTGAAAAGCAGGAAAGCAAGATTTATTCTATTGGGAAAAAAGAATAAAGAGATCCTGGCCCACCTTCTTCAAGTCTAGTACATGGCAACCAAAGCAAGCATATATATATATATATATCCATTACACATTTGCTGCATCTTACAACCATTCAATTAAAATGATCCACACATAAAAAATGATTATCATTTCCACTTTATAGAATGGACTGAAGCTTAGGAAAAAGCCACTTGTTCAAGGTCACCTGCTGGTGTAAGAAAAAGCTACTCGGTACATCTGACTTGAGAACAAAGGTACTTCACTGTAAGGCAATACAATCACTGAAGGGATTTAGTCAACACACACCTGGGCAGCAGAGCTGAGACCTAATCTAGACGGTCTTCCTACCCAAGCTTGTCTACCTAGCATAACCAAGTTTTGTATCACATTAATAATAATACAATATAGTGATCTTTTCACTGGACCATGTAACTCTTAGGAAAGTTTCCACACAAGATCCAGAATCATCCTCGAGAATCTTTTATCACAGGATCCAGATAAAGATAGTTCCTGAGATTAAAAAGGCAAAGAAAAATAAGGAATTTGAGAGTAATTTCAAAATAGTCATCATTGCTAGGTGCAGTGTTATACACCATTTATACCAGCATTGGAGGGGCAGAGGCAGGCAGATCTCTGAATTCAAGGCCAGTCTGTTCTACAAAGTGAATTCCAGGACAGCTAAGACTACACAATGTGACTCTATCTCAAAAATCAAAAAACAAAAGAAGCCATCATTTTAAGATCAAACCTGGGTATATTTGTGTTTTTGTTATGAGACAGTTCTAAGTTTGAGTAACTATTCTTACGCTATTATATTTAATTTTATATTGTAGCAGCTTTTTCATAAACACTAAAATTAAAGTATATTACAGAATATTTAACAAATAGTGAGAAACCACCCATCATTGCATACAACCATCTCATTGGGCCAGCTACCTTTTCTCTATGTAAATTCAGGGTCTTTAACTTAACTGGATTCATGATGTACACAATTTTACAAATGGTTTCTTCGCTAATAACCATCATTTCCATTATGCTTAACTGCAAACAACATTATCTGAACAATTTTAGTAAAAATCTATCAGGCAGGCAATCCTTGGCATTTTGTGTATCTCCTCTCAGCAGTGTGGAGGACACGTACCAGATGGAATTCTTCAGCAGTCAGTCTGCTAACCAGCTCCTGAAACAACAGCCTTTGAGTTGACTTGTGTCCCTCTGGACTTTGTAGCATCCAGTTGTCAGTGCCTAAAGCACTACTCATTGGGAGAGACCACTGGGCCACTGAGCCCCTTAGAAATATTTTGATTGGCTTCTGGAAATGTCTCTGATGCATGGCTAAGGGCTCTAGGGAGATTGCCCATGGTTCTTGAATTTCTTTGCCTGAGAGAAATAAAGAATATTAAAATTTTAATATATGAAATAGTTTCTAAAAGAGATTTCATAGTAAGGATGAAAAGAATCAGATTTCCAGTTGAGACAGTGGGTAACGTCACTCAATTCACATTTCAACCCTAACCCTGTTGTTTACAAGCTATCTGAGCAGGTTCATTTGGCACTATAGAAAAAGCTTTATACAAATGGATATGGATGGTATCACAACTTCTCAACTATGACTTGGAAATATGTATGTATTCAAGTAGTACTACTTTAAAAAATAAGACTCTCTGATTGGTGTGGTAGTAAATGTCCATAATCCCAGCACTCCGGTACCTGAGGTTGGAAGATAGAGGGACCTAGGCCAATCTGGGCTACATACTGAGGTCCTGTCTCAAAGAAGACTCAAAATACCATGTGTGTGCCTAGTGCCCTCAGAGATCAAAAGAGGACATTGTATCTCCAGGAACTGGAGTTAGATAGTTGTGAGCCACCGTGTGGGTGCTAAGACCCAAAACTAGTTTCTCTGAAACAGAAACAGGTGTTCTTTACCACTAAACTCTCTCTCTAGCCCCCAAAAATATTCTTAAAAAATTTTTAAACTGGGGCTGGAGAGATGGCTCAGAGGTTAGGTGCACTGGCTGCTTTTCCAGAGGTTATGAGTTCAATTCCCAGCAACCACATGTTGGTTCACAACCATCTGTAATGAGATCTGGTAGCAGGTCTTTGACCTGCAGGGACACATGTAGGCAGAACACTGTATATATAATAAATAATAAATCTTTAAAAAAATTTTTTAATTGGAGGGCTAGAGACATGGCTCAGTGGTTAAGAGCACTAGCTGCTCTTCAGAGGACCATAGTTTAATTCCCAGCACCTACATAGCATCTAATAACTGTCCATAACTTTTGCTCTAAGGGGATCTGGCACCTTCTTCTGGCCTCTGTGGGCACTGAACACACATGGTACACAGACATTCATGCAGCCAAAATATCTAAGCACATAAATCTTTAAACTGGCTGGGCAGTGGTGGCGCACGCCTTTAATCCTAACACTCAGCAGGCAGAGGCAGGCGGATCTCTGTGAGTTTGAGGCTGGGCTGGACGGACAGCCTCCAAAACAATACAGAGAAACCCTGTCTCGTAAAAGCAAAAAACAAAAACAACAAAAAAAATCTTTAAACTGGCTAACTCTTGGATCATACACCTAGAATCCACCACTTGAGGGGTGAGGCATTGTGACCAGGTTAGCAAGTTTGAAAACAGCTTGAGACACTATCTCAAAAACAAAAAACACTAAAAATTCTTCAGCTGTACATAATTATAACACAGTTTAAAGTATCAATCTCTACGCAGTCTTTCCCTGTGAACATGATATACTCAGAAATGAGCATCACCATGTAACAAACCATAAGGGAAACAAATTTGTAAGATGTTGGCTTTTCCTGGTAACAAGCATCATTTGAGGGTTTCGTAATTCATTTCTTCTGTAGTCATCTTCTTTCTCTATGATCTCTAATTCATCAATTTCTTCTACAAGGCAATGAAATCCTTATACTCATGTGTTTGGGTATCTAAGCAATACTACCATTCTTTTTGTAATTCTTTGTAATCATTCCCTTGGTTTTTTCTCACATGCACTGGCAGGTATACCACAGTTCAGTCTTCCTGTGGTATCAGATTTTGCTTTTGGATTTTTAAAACTCTTTCAATTAAATTTAGTATCCACATATAGAAAATGCTAAAGAAACTGGAAGTGTGCTTTGGAGCTGGGGATTGCCAGCTTACAATCCCACCACCAGAGAGTCTGGGAAGCAGGGAGGACCATAAGAGAGATATGCATGGTAACTGGAGAAGGGTTATGGGAGGAGATCTCCTAATTGGATTGGGGGGAGATGGGAGAAAGAGAGGGGAAAAAGAGGAGGGGAGAGGAGGACACAGAAGAGCAGGAAGGTTGAGCCAGGATAAGAATAGAAAAGGATGAGAGATACTATAATAGAGGGAGTCACTATTAGAGGAGAGATCTGGCACTAGTGAGATCTTCACAGATCTACAAGAATGACACCAACTGGCATTAGGGCTACCTTAAATGCCCCCCCCATGATAATGAGATTGATGACTACCTTATATCCTAGAACCCTCATCCAGTGGCTGACGGAAGCAGAAGCAGACACCCACAGCTAAAAACCAAATTGAAATCCTGGAACCCAGTTGCAAGGAGGAGTGATGAGCAAAGCAATCAAGACCAGGCTGGCGAAACCCACAGAGGCAGCTGACCTAAACAAGGGGGAACACATGGACCCCAGACTGATGACTGAGCAGCCAGCATGGGACTGATCCAGATACCATCCCCCCAACTTGGGTGTCAGAGAGGAGGTCTCGGCAACCTATGGGACCTTGAAGAGTAGATCAGTATTATTCCTGGCATACAAATGGACTCTGGGAGTCCATTCCACATGGAGGGATGCTCTCTCAGCCTGGACACATGGGGGAGGCCCTAGGTCCTGCCAGGGATGATATGACAGACTCTGAAAATCCCTCATGGAAGGCCTTACCCTCCCTGGAGAGCAGAGGGGGGATGAAGTGGGGCAGGGGGTTGGGAGGGGAGAGAGAAGGAACTGAGAGTAACATGTATAAAGAGTTAAAAAAAAAAAAAAAGAATAGATGTGAATGCATTGACATCATATGGGAAAGAAAATATTCCAAACCACTCAATGGACTTTCAGAAGATTTTCATGCAAAATAACTTTTATACAGATAATCATGTTGATGGCATTATACAAATACTGTTTTCTAAAATGTTACTCTATAAAAATTTTAAGTATCTCTTTAAAAAAAATAAATAGAAATTTGAAGGAAAAAAAGTTATTTGCTTACCTTTAACAGGGAGAAATAATGTTCCTTCAGTTTGGGGAAATGAGGCTTCATACTCAGGAGAATTATAGAGTAGGCAGTTTACAGTGGCATCTATTGGTAGAGTGGAGATCCATGAAGAGAGGAGAGGTTCACGTGACAGCTCACCACCACTCTGCAGAACTGTTTCCCCGACTTTAGTAAAACCCAGGCTCCAAGTTTCAGATGGCAAGATGGTGCCTCCTCCATGGTGGAGCAGTTCACAAACTGTCCAGTACCCAATGTGGTCTGGAGAGGCCCACAACTAAAATAAATATGACAAAGAAGCTTAAGTTAGTATATTTATAAATAAACTAGATAGAGGAAGTAGGGCAAGTGTTAATACCAACATTAAAGGATCAAATTACACTATTAATGTGTCTGTTGAACCAAGTACAAATAACAGCTAGCATCTATTACTACACAGCCCAAGATCATAATTACCATATAACATACCTTCAAGGAAACAGAATACTGGGGAGAAGACTATTAATAAAGTGCTTGGTTTGTAAGTGTAAGGACTTGAATTAAAACCCTAGAACCCAGCAGGGCGTTGGTGGCGCACGCCTTTAATCCCAGCACTTGGGAGGCAGAGGCAGGCGGATCTCTGTGAGTTCGAGGCCAGCCTGGTCTACAGAGCGAATTCCAGGACAGCCTCCAAAACAATACAGAAAAACCCTGCCTCGAAACCCCCCCCCAAAAAAACCTAGAACCCATGTTAAAAAAGCCAAACACAGTGGTACTTTTTTTTTTCAAGACAGGGTTTCTCTGTGGCTTTGGAGGCTGTCCTGGAACTAGCTCTGTAGACCAGGCTAGTCTGGAACTCAGAGAGCCACCTGCCTCTGCCTCCTGAGTGCTGGGATTAAAGGCGTACGCCAACAATGCCCAGCTGATACAGTTTATAATCCTATAATCCACCAAGAAACAGAGAGCATTTATTTTTAGGGCACACTGGTTGGCTAACCTAGTTGGTGAACTCCACGTAAGCAACAACACCCAAACTTGTCTTCTGCCCTCCTACATACACGATACACAAATGATTATGAACTATACAGAAAGAAAATATTTGTTTTAAAAAAATAGCCCTCTTTTTACTGCTTTTCATGTTTTATTAATGTGCATATATCTGTATAAGTGTATGCAGTCTATGTGGGTGTCCTCAGAGACCAGCTAATATTACATACAGTTATGAACTTCCCAACATGGGTGCTAGGAACTGAACTCAGGACCTCTTGGAAGAGCAGCAAACAACCCTTTAGTCCTGGGTCATCTCTCCAGTCCAACTGCTTTTCATTGAGACAGGGTCTCATCAAGTTACCTAGACTAGACTTGAACTTACTTACAAAGCAGAAAGGATCTGAACTTTCTACCCCACTGCCTTAGACTTCCAAACAGCCTAGACTATAGGCCTACAATAGTCCCAACTAAACTCTTTAAAAATCACTATTAATGCCGGGCAGTGGTGGGGCATGCCTTTAATCCCAGCACTTGGGAGGCAGAGGCAGGCGGATCTCTGTGAGTTCGAGGCCAGCCTGGTCTACAGAGTGAGTTCCAGGACAGCCTCCAAAACAATACAGGGAAACCCTGTCTCGAAAAAACCAAAAAACAAAACGAAAACTTTTCATTTACATGTTATATGAACCCCTTCACACAGACATGAATGCAAGCAAAACACCAATGCACCAAAAGCCAGGTGGTAGTGACCATACGCCTTTAATCCCAGCACTCAGAAGACAGAGGCAGGCAGATCTCTATGAGTTCAAGACCAGCTTGGTCTACATATCGAGTTCCAAGACAGCCAGGGCAACACAGAGAAAGCCCTGTCTGGAAAACACAAAAGATTGTAAGTCTCCAGGTTGGTACTGGGAATTGAATACAGTTCCTCTGGAAGAGTAATCAGTGTTCCTAACTTTAGCTATCTCTCCAGCACTTATACTTAATACTTAACATAATTTTGTTTTTGTTTTTTTAAGACAGGACCTCATTATGTAGCTCTCAATGTCTTGGAACTCAGTACGTAGACCAGGCTGGCCTTGAACTCAAAAGAGATCCACTACACCTAGCTTTAACATGATATTTTTATTAGTCCTGAAGGAATGGCTCAGCAGTTAAAGCACTGGCTGCTTTCCTAGAAGAAGCAGGTTCAATTCTTGGCACGACACAGCAGCTCACAACCATGTATAACTCCAGTTCCAAGGAATCTGACACCATCTTCTGGCCCCTGTAGCCACCAGCCTTGCAGGTAATTCAGACATACATGCAGACAAAACACACACATGTTTAAAGTAAATAAAGTCAAAATTTCTTACAATGTATTTGACCACATTTACCTCCCACTTCTTCCCTAAGTCTTAACATTCTGGATGATTATTGTTGGTTTCTCATCTGTACTCTTGCTATTTAAGCAGCTCCTAGTTTAGAGCTATGCAATTCTATTAAGTGAAAGCTCTTTTCACCCGTTCAAACCACTTTCTAAACCTTCTCATTGATCAGAACATATCCATGATTCAAGCCTGGCCTGGTGGAACAGCACTTCTCTCTAACTCTGTTGTTCTCCCCATTGCTTTTCTGGGTCCACAGTTCCTAGTCTTTCCATTTGTACTACAAAGTTCATTGCTAGCTCCCACCCTTACTCATAGCCTTCTCTAAGTCTGGGAGTGTTCTCTCTCAGTCTTTTATTATAATCTTCCTCATTCACTGTTCAAGCCTGCTGGGGAAGGGCTTCCTTCTTCCCTAAGTACACCTCTAGACACAATAACTACCTGCCTCCCCTCACCCAGCCTTTCTTTTCCTTGAAGCAAGTTTTGAAATCACCACTTATTTGCTCATCTGGAAAGTAAACTATTTTAGTCACCATATCTCCAGCAGCTAAGATGAGGCTCAATGTAGTGGCTTACCAATGCATGTATCTGTAGTAAAATAATGTACCAGAAACAAAAATTAAACTGCACAGACTATAGATGCTTTCATGGTATAATTTCACATATATACATATGAAAGGAGACCAGGAGTTCAAGGTCATCCTCCAATACAGAGTCCCATGCTGGCTACAACCTGAACTACACTAGTCTGTTTCAAAACTAGCAACACACACACACCCTTACAGCACTTACAGGAGCAAGGAGCTCCACTGCCTAAACAAAAATCCAAACTAGCCATTTAAGACTAACGTTGCAAAAAGAGATTCATCTAACCAGCAGATATTTACTTAACACACACAGTGTTCAATATTATACAACTGTGTTAGGAGCTGGTACCTGCCTTTGAGATTTTTGTTTGTTTGCTTTTTTGAGAAGACATCTTTCTTTACAGTCTGGCTAGTCTTGAACTGTGACAATCCTCCTGCCTCAGCTTCTCATAGTGCATCATCACTGAGGTGGTATTTTAAACTAGATGGAAAATGACAGGTGTGTCCTATTAGGTGTGGAATATAATTGAGAAAGAGCTCTACATGCCACAACTAAGGGTTTTGGTTTTGTTTGTTTTGAAGACAGGGTCTCTCTACATGGTCCAGGCTGTCCTGGAGTTCACTATGTAGATCAGGCTGGCCTCGAACTCAGAGATCCACCTGCCTCTCTCTGCCTCCTGAGTGTTGGGATTAAAGGTGTGGGCTGGGCAGCCACCATGTCAGGACAACAACCAAGGTTGCTGAAAGATAGATTTCTATTGCTTTAGAAGGGGAGGACTACAGGTCCAGAAGGCAGGGCAGCACAGGGCGAAACAATCAAGATCTGTGACCTGAGTCGGGCTGTGGTGGCGCACGCCTTTAATCCCAGCACTCGGGAGGCAGAGGCAGGCGGATCTCTGTGAGTTCGAGACCAGCCTGGTCTACAGAGCGAGTTCCAGCACAGTCAGGGCAATGCAGAGAAGAGAGAGAAAAGGGGAGGAGGGAGGGAGGGGGGAGGGAGAAAGAGGGAGGGAGAGAGACAGAGACAGAGACCGTGCCCTGGCTGAACCAAACAAACTTCCACATGCTGGAATACAAGGGCTATGTAGGAAAATTGAGCACTCAAAAGCGCACAGGTCCCAAAGTGCTGAGGCTCCTCCACACTCATATTTAGCAGGTACCCATTATCTACGCATTTTGTTGGGGAAAACCGTCCCTCTTTGGGACCCACAGAGGTTCCCTTCGGAAGGGACACGGAGTCGAGCATCGTTCATCCTGGGTCTACCGCACCCTACAGAACCTGACAAGCTCTGGCTGCCGGGGAGGGGGAGTACGTGTGCCGGCTCGGACGCTGCTCCGCCTTACCTTAGACTGCTCGGTGGTGTCCACCCAGAACAAGGTTATATTTCGGGCGACCATGACCTCCTGGACCCTCTTGGGCAACACCTTCTCCATCACCTGCTTGGGGGTGAGCGGCACGCGTTGAGCCTGGGCCTCGCACCCCGACGCGAACTGCAGCAGCTCCCTCTGCGAGTGGGGACAGGGCGCCAGGAGGAAGACGGCGTTCCCAAAGCCCCCGAGCGCGGCCAGGGCCTCCTCCCTGGCCTCGCTGTCCGCGTCCAGCAGCCTCCTCCCGCTACTCCGCAGGATCGGCTTCGTGGGCGACGTGATCTCCGGCCGGTCCCACTGGTAGTCGAGCAGCGTCTCCATCAGGGCCCCGTGGGTGAGGGTGGCCCTGGGAGTCGGGCCGGGCAGGTGGGCGCCGGGAGCGCGATCCCCGAGCCTGGCCTCCAGCTCCTGCTCAAAGTCCTCCCAGGAGCGGCTCCCCAGCTCACGGAAGTCAGACACGCGGGACGGCCGGCTCCGTGCTCCCTGAGAGTCGAAGAACTTGAAGGCCCAGTGGACCCTAGGCAGGCCGAAGCGGCAGCTGAGGTAGGTGAGGAGGCGCAGGGCGGCACGCCGGGCCGGGCCGTGGCGAGCGGCGTCGCCCGCGGTGTCCACCAGCAGCGCCACTTTGTGACAGCAGGCCATGTCGGCCGCCGCGGGGCTCGGCCCGGCCGCGCGCTGCCCTTCCCGAGGCAGGAGACGCTCCTCAGCGAGCCAGCGCCATTGCCCGCTCCTCGGAGGCCCCGCTCCGAAGCCTCCCGCGCTCCGCGACAGCTGCGGCTATTGGAGGAGCCGGCTCGCAAGCTTGGCTCTTATTGGCTGCGGGCCGAACGTAAGCTGCGTAAGCGCTTCCTTTTGGGACCCTAACGAGAAGGAGCGTGGAGAAGCTCCGCTTGATTGGTGGAGGGTGTGACTGTGGGCGGGGCGCGGAATTCCGGGAATCTCTGGATCCTCATTGGCCTGAGCCTTCGTTTTTAAAATTTAAAGAGGCGGTACTTCGGGGGCGTGTGCGTGCGTGCGTGCCGGAGGCGGGGCGCGCTGCTGGGACCCTGGGGCCTGGGTGGTGCGCGGGAAGGGGTTTGAGTTGAACTGGCTTTAGTCTACTCTTAAGTCTTTTAGGGACCATCATCCGATGACGGAGGCTTTAATTTTGTTTTTCCGTAAAGATTTCATAATCCCCACGCTCCTTAGGCCGATCGCGGACTGCAGGGCCTTCAAAGCCCTTAGTAAACCTGTAAGTTTAACTTCTGCGTAAGGATTGCAAGACTATATCTTACATCTAATGAATGCAAATCAATTGTATTAATTAAGCTAAATCCTCCCCTGGATTGATAGGATTTTAACCTACGAAATTTTAGTTAACAGCTAAACAGCCGGGGCTGCCTAGCATGGCCACTGGAACAAGGAGTACATTGGAAGGGCCGTGGATACCGAGAAGGACAGGAAGGCAGGGAAGGGATTCCGGGAAGGAAGGGAAGTGACAGAACTCGTGTTTTGAAAAGAGCACTCGGGGTCCTAGGTGGAAAAAAAAAAACAATATACAGGCACCTAAAGGAGTCAAAATAGAGGCAGAGAGATACACGAGGAGTCTGCAGAGCATCTGGGGGGCTGTTTTACAAACTAAGAAATGATCGAACACACCAGAAAGTACCTGAGCCAGTTCTTTGGGTGCAGAAAAATTATACTAGAACATCTATTTCCAGAGTCCGCCTTTAAAAAAAAATCTTACCCCTCATCCGTTCAATAGATGTTAGTGTTTTGTGGCATTTTGTTTTTAACTTGTCTTTGTTGCTTGTTTGATTGCAGGCATGCTCTCATTATGGGGCGTTGGGCGTCAAATCCAGGGCTTTGTGCATGCTGGACAGCCAGGCACTGCACCAACATCTCCAACACCCATAGGTGTTTGCTTTTCTTCTTTTTAATTTGTTGTGTGTTGGGGGAATGGTTGCTAGGGATGAAGCAAGGGGCCTGGCATGCACTTAGCGAGCATGCTTCCTCTCAGCCACATCCCTGGCCAGGGTACTGTTTATTTTATTTTTACATCTTACATGTATGAGTGTTTGCCCATATATGGACAAGGAAGCTAAAACTATACAATGGAAAAAGAAAGCATCTTCAACAAATGGTGCTGGCATAACTGGAGGCTGACATGTAGAAGACTGCAGATAGATCCATGTCTATCACCATGCACAAAAGTTAAGTCCAAATGGACCAAAGACCTCAACAAAAATCCAGCCACACTGAACCTCTTAGGAGAGAAAGTGGAAGGTACCCTTGAATGAATTGGCACAGGAGACCACTTCCTGAACATGCCAGTAGCATGGACACTGCTTCTAAATTTCAATTTTATTCTTCATTATATGTGCAAGTATTAATAGAAAGGAGCTGGGCATTGCTGCACTCAATAAGCAGAGACAGGCAGATCTCTGTGAGTTCAAAGCCATCTAGGTCTTCAGAGTGAGCTCCAGGCCAGCCAGGGCTACATAGTGAGACCACACTACATAGGGTCTCCAAGAGTGGGGGGGGGCTCTGGAGCAACTGTGGTGAGGACCAGTTGTTGCTCTTGCAAAGGACCTGTGTTCTTTCCCAATACCCTCTGGGGACTCACAACCATCCATAACTATGATTCCAGGAAGTCTGATGATGCCCCCCTCTGATTGCCATCGGTGCCAGGCATGCACGTGGTATGCATACATACATGCATGAAAAACACTCAAACACATAAATATTTTTAAAAGTATCTACACATAATTTGCTGATTAAATATACATATTGCTGGGAGCTGTGTGGCCAAGTTTCAGGCCAGTATATGAGTACCTGTCCAGTGTGTCTCCAGCTGAGCAAAGCCCACAGGGACAGTCTCACTCCACAAGGACCGGTGGACTTCGGGACATCGCAGAATATTTCTGGGACCATGCAGCCTGTGTGCTCTCTTCTCTTGTGACGTGGATGAATCTCTTGGTGGTTTTAGTGCCATTTTGTCAGTCATACATGGGACAGATGTGATCATTCCTAGAAACTCGTTTTTTTTCTTCTTCAATATTTCCCCCCTAAAATTCTTTGGGAGCTGATATTTCTCAGGTTTCTTGCCTGGGGATGCCAGATGTCACTCCAGACCCCAGGAGCTGTTCTGATTCAGGGCCGGAGGCAGATCACCCCTACTTCTGTAAATATGTTTTGACGAGATTGTTGTTCTTGAAAATGTGTGCCTGGTCAGTCACCTTTTAGTTTTGTAAAGACAGGATGTACCTGGCTCAATATTTGACCAAGCTAGCAAAATGATAAGGTTTTTTTTTTTTTGGTTTAAAGATATTTTAATATACAAGTTGGAAAAAAAACATATTTGACATATTTGTTTTTGCCGCAGATTAAAGTTGGAGACTGGGAAAAACTTGTTTGTTAGTATGAAAAACATGCTTGTTTTTTAATGTATAAATAAAAATGGCTGGAGTTATGGGGGAGGGGCGGCCACTTATGTGAAACTCACCTGATGACCAGACAGTTCATTTTTTAGCGATGACAACCCCTCCTTGTCTCAGGACCTGTACCCAGGCTGCAGTTGACCACAGAATAATGCATTGGGGATGCAGATTCAGCACTTTTCTATGTTTGTATTGTTTGGTTAGTTTTGTTTTTTGGGGGGGGAGAGTAGTATGAGGGTACCATCTGCATTATACCCACAAGCCCATTAGAGATGGCTGTGAGCCACTATGTGGTTGCTGTGAATTGAACTCAGGACCTCTGAAAGAGCAGCCAGTGCTCTTACCTGCTGAGCCATTTCTCCAGCCCCTCCAATGTAATTCTGTGTTCTTAAGGTAAAACTCCAGATAAATGTGGGCACTACTGGTCTACACTTCATGGCGGTGGCTTTGAACCAAGGTTCCTGTGGTGGAGATGGTGAACCATGATTGTGTTAAAGATATATTCCAGATGTGTAGTTATCAACAGATTGCAGGCTATAGCAATAACTTCTAGGTTTGGGGCCTGAAGCTGACTAAAAAGTGGAGAAGGAGAGAGGAAGCTATGGTGAGGAGACAGCAGACTGTCAGGGTCTAGTTAGTAGACAACATTATGATACCAGCTGGATCCCTGTGATGACTGAGAACTTGATGCCACCTAGAATCACCTGGTAAGGGTCTCGATGAATCTGTCTACATTGTGCTGGCCTTGTGGAATTGTCTTTATGACAGTAATGAATGTGGAAAGCCCCAGCCCGTGGTGGGCGGCACCATCCCCTAGGCAGAGGGACTTGAACTGTATGAGTGAAGAAATTGTGCTGGACACAAGCCAGCGAGCATAACATGCATAAATCCGTTTCTCTGCTCTTGACTGTGTTGGCTGCTTTAAGGTCCTGCCGCCTTGACTCAGTTGAGGGATTGCAACCTGGACTAGTGAGCTAACAATAAGATCTTTCACCCTCTAAGTTCCCTTTTGTCAGGATAGTTTATCACACCAACAGAAATGAAGTCTGCTGCACACCAGTCTGTCGTCTTTCAAGGTAAATTGAAAATCGATGGTAACCTGGGCCTACAATGAAGTTACAAAGCTTTCGGCTTCAGCCATGCAAAGCTAAGCTGTGAAGAGCTGCCTTAGGCAACCTCGGGACGTCCCGATGACATAGAGAAACATGTAGATAGCCATGTCTTGGTGTCAGGACCTAGACTGATACTTCCCATCAGCAGTGGGTGTGGACAGTTGGATTTTCCTTGAGCTTTGTGGTGAGTGGGGCCTGCTGACCTACTACTGCTACTCTGAGGAATTGCATACAGCTGTGTTTGACAAACTACTGTTGCAACAATGGTTTGGGGTGAATTTCAGTTTCAGAACAAAATTAAGAACAATGAAATCTCCCTATAGAGTAGGCTCTGTGTTTAAGAGCACGTTTTCTTGGAAAGGACCCAGGTTCGATTCCCAGCATCCACATGGAGTTTCACCATCTCCTCAGGCACCAGACATGGATGTGGTACAGACATACTTGCAGGCAAAATACTCAAATATACCTTTTTTTTTTTTTTTTTTTTGGTTTTTTGAGACAGGTTTTCTCTGTATTGTCTTGGAGGCTGTCCTGGAACTCGCTTTGTAGACCAGGCTGGCCTCGAACTCACAGAGATCCACCTGCCTCTGCCTCCCGAGTGCTGGGATTAAAGGTGTGCACCACCAACGCCCGGCAGTAAGTACATTTTTTAAAAAGGACAATGAACTAAAATTTATTTTTTTACTGACCCAGCGAGGTGACTCAGTGGACAAAAGCACTAACCTGATGACCAGAGTTCAGTCCCCAGAACCCACAGGAAGCCAGAAGCAGTGGCTGTCTACCTGCAACCCCAGCACTCCCGCAGCAAAATGGGAGGCAGAGACAGGAGAATCCCTTGAAGCTTGATGAGCTGCTACCTTGAAATACACAGCATGATGGAGACAAGAGAGACCCTGCATCAACAAGGTCGAAGGAGAGAGCCGACTCCCCAGAGTTGCTCTCTGACCTCCGTACACCTGCCCAGGCGAAGTGAGCAAGTGAGACCATCAAAGGCCCACCCCTCATGAGCCACTTTGTTCCAAAATCTCAACAAAGCAAAACAAAAAAACCACAGAAATGGGGACTAAGTATTCAAACACGTGAGCCTGTGGTGGACACTTCATTCTGAAACCGTAACAAGCAGCGTCTTTCTCTTTGTAGCCTTAGTGCCTAACAGAATGCATATTCCGTAAATTACGTTAAAATATTACCAAGAATTTATTTCTCCTGTTAGAAATGCAG